AGCCAAAAAGACAAGCCAGCCCTATGAAACAGTTGGTGTGTTTGTGTGGGTGTGTGATGCGGTGTATCGTATCGATGGGTGTGAGTGGTGTTGTGGCAAAGGTCTTGTGTGCACTTTTAGTGCATTGTGTTGCTACTGAAGGTAGGCCAGTTGTAGAGACGGAATTTACAGGTGGTGATATTTTTTGGTGGTTCACGATAGGGTCAGTGATACGTGAGTGTGATAGTGGTGAGATGATATCAAATTAGATACTGCATTAACAGCTAATACGGAAGTTCTGGGAGCTATTAGATAGTATATGAACGGGGTGCTTCTGGTTCATTTCAGTGAAGAACAATGTTAATGTACTCAAAAAGAACTCATCCATCTCAAACGCTCCAAGCCTCTCACCACAGAAACACGACGCGAATGCACTCACTTGTTGGACTACCTAGAAAGGAGATAACTTAAAGAATAGGTATCCACTCTCCTTGAATTCGTAGGGCTGCTCCGTTTCCTCTCACGAGCTACGGGGCAGTGATGGTAGGTAGGTAGCCCATCGCAATGAGGTGACCCCTTATCGTCGTCGTCGTCGTCGTCGTTGTTATCACGACTTCTTCCCCTGGGCACCCCCGGCTCCGGAAGCTTCTTCCACAATCTCAACGTTATTCTGGGAGCCGTTATTCTCAACGCTCTCCAACGGCTTTCAGCTGCTCATCCAACGTTGTTCTCTCTCGCCAGCAAGCCTCACATGTCAGCACAGCAAACCCGTGCAGACAGGGGAGATTCGCTACGACTCCTTGCCGTATCAGGTAGTCGTTTGCGAAGACCCACCAACTTCCCAAGATTAAATGCTACGCCATAAGAAAGGAGATCTGAGAATCATAAGCATCACAAGCAAGGAGAAAAATGACAGGCGCCAGGGCAAGCAACGCATGGCTATCCGAGACGTGATTGCCAGATTTGTCGTTTCGAAGACAGGAGTGCGTGGTGCTGTTAAAAACAACGGGGAGTAACGGGGAGCCGTTGCCGGGCGGGTCCTCTGCGGTGAAGGCCCGGGGTAGTCAGCATGACGTCGCGACTTTCGCGAAACTCTTGAAGGAGGGATCATTTTGATCACCGTTCGTGCATCAGCGTTGCCGTTCAATTGTTCGTGTCGACTCCTCCTCCGACGACCCCCGACCCCCGCTTTCTCAGCCCCGGACCGGCCCCATTCCTTTCTCAGCAGCCGTTTTCACGGGCGGGCGGGATGGCCCTTGGGCTGACTGCTGACGGAGTATGGTGGTGTGTGCTGTCCCCGTTTCTTGGCATCGACGAACATCACCACCACCTCCGCTGCTCCGCACCTCCGCAAACTTAAACCGCCAACCGCGGGACCCCGTTTTAATCGATTTTGATCAAGAACGGGCTGCGGGCACTAAGAAGATGCGCGCAATGCAGGCTCTGCTTGAACTCCAGATTTCCACTTCTCCGTCCGGCGTGGTCCATGCGGGAGAGGATACACTTAGATCGCGGGTATGCGATGATGCCCAGAGATGGAGTCAAAACTTTTGAAACACGGACCACAACAAGCTGCAAGACTGCCGTAGCTACAGTAGTACGGGGTAAACTAGTGTGGTAGCAAGTTTGAGGTTTCGCGGATAACCTCATTTTTTTCGGCTCAGTAGGTGAGAAAAAGCTTTTCTTTGCGGTGCACCGGCGCCTTTCGCCAATGCCAACGCCAACGACACCTGCTATATAAAGCTAGAGGCGGGCGGGATGCGAGGGTACGGTGAGGGTGCATTGGGGGTTGTTCAGTTTGTTGGGGAGATAGCGTCAGCGGCGCGACGGCCTGATGCCTCACCTTTTTACCGGTAGGGCCAGCTCAGCGAAAGATATTGTTGATATCGTGAGTGTGAAGCGCACACCGCATCGCGCGCGCGCTGAAAAACGAGTTTTGCGCTGGTCGTGCATCTGTTGGTAACCAACCGCAAAGACAGGAGCCTAAACCAGCCAGCCAGCCAGCCAGCCATTCCTCGCCGTCCGTATTGTTGAGATGAAACCCCGATCTGGGGGAGGCTTTTGCCCTCTGTTTTTTTTTGCGGTTTTGGATGTAGGTGAGGTGGTCACGATGGCTTCATACCGGAGGCCAACCAACGGACCAACTCCCCCTGACCAGCAAGCCAGCAACGCAACAACGACAACAACAACCGTTTTCTCCATCCGTTTACATACGAGCACGAAGCACCGCACTATTTACCGCGTATAGCAGCCGCGCGACAGGTCTCTTTGTCGATGTGCGCAAGGGCAAGTTTTTGTCGCGAGTACGTAAAAAGAAAGGGCACCCGTACCCGAGCCTACTCTTTCTCTACTCTCGATATATCAGATTTCATCCCAGATCCAGCCAACCGGAAGCGACGCGACAGAAGCCTGGAGTGCTGGAGAAGCAAGGGCAAGTTCCCAAATTGGGAATGACATGGCCCCAAAACAAGCAAAATAAGCTTTTTCTTGTTTGTGTGATACTGACAGATGTATGGGGGTCGTTTTGCTTGCTTGCTTTTTTATCCCACGAAAATCATGGGGTCGCTAGCAAACCAATTCATAACTGAACCCGCCGCAGGTTGGTCCGTATCCAAATGTACACAACAACGGTATCGTACTCGCCCTGTGAAAACAACAGCTTGAAAATAGAAACGGTGTGGTGTGGAAGTGTGCATATGGTGTGGGCGGAATGTTGCTTTTTTGGCCGCCCACACGCTTCTTCCCCTACGCATCTCATTTCAGGCGGTGAGGGTGCGTTTCTTCTTTTTGTGACGGATGCTGCTTCATTCAAAGCAACGTGAATGATACCTCCCACCAACCGGTCCGCTGGAGTCGCGAGACGCGAGACACACGAAAAACGGAGGTATTTAAGGGGGTTAATAGGAAGGGAAACGGTTCGGGGAACGGTTTGCAACTGACAGGCACTGACAGCCAGTTTAGGCCGGGGTTATGACTCGCGATGACTCTCGACCACCCATGCCGGCCAAAGAGAACGGTGATTTTATGGGATGAACGTTTACCCTGGACGCGGAACCTTGACCGTCTCGACTGTTTTTACCCTGGAGTCCGGAATGGGGGCCATGGTGCCGCGGGCCTTGTTCCCATTGATGCCAGATGGAGTCTTCCTTGCCGTCTTTCTTCTTCCCCGTCGTCCCCGTTCGTCTCCGTTCATGCCCGTGGCAGCAGCCAGCCCTGATCGGTTCCGTTCTTCGGGGAGCGAACGGTTCACCGACTGGTACGCAAACGGTACATTCCGCTCTACACATCCTATTTATCCTGTTATCCCTTCATTCCCAAGAGCCCGGGCGCGCGACACTAACTTACAGGGCTTCCATGACCCATGAGGAATAGCATCTCTTGATGAGATTAAAGAAGGCGGAGAGAGGAGGGAGATCTAGGGCGCCCCAGGGCTGCGGAACCGTAGGCACGTCCGGTCCGGAGGTGTCTCCTGCTCATGTTCGTTATGCGCATTGCGAATGAATGGCCGACAATGACTCCGCAATCTAGGTGGTGTCTCTTGTGCTCAGCCACCATGGGGAGCGCGCCTCTTGACTCGCTCGCTGGCTATCATGGTTCTCGGTTCCAGGGCCATCCAGAGGCTTCAGTTGGCTGAGCACCGATGGTGTGTCGCCCAATTGCCCACCGACGGTGACTGCAATGACTGCAATGTGCCACCGGTATCACCATGACCGACGGTGTAGCAGCTGTAGTTAGCGGCCAAACTAGGTAATCATGGTGAAACGGACGTATCGGGATGCGTTGTTAGGGCTCGAGGGCAAAGGCGGTCAGGAACGCTGGCAGAGGACACCGCAAGTTGTAGCGACTCAGCGACGAGAGCAGCGTGCGTGAAGCGTTGGAGCGTGCATGGTGTCCGTCTCGTTTGTCTGGATTGTCCATGCGCGTGGGGGAGGGAGAGGGAAACAAACTTGAACATGGAACGGAACCGGTCCGGGCGTTCCCTCACTAACACGGTCGGGTGCCAATCCGGGGCATGGAAATTCGAGAAACGGCCGTCACATTCACATTCACATTCACATTCACATTCACTCTCAAATGATTGCCGCCCAGGCCCATGATGGACTGGTCAGTTGTCACTTTGGTTCGGTCCCGTCACTGTCGTTTGCGCCGTCTTGTTGTTTGGCGCCATAGCGCCCAGACTCATCCCGTCGTTTTCTTTGGCCGTCATGGCTGTCTTACCCCAGGCCTGGGCCTTTGATAGCTGATAACAGCCCGAGATAGGCTGGTGCTTGTTGATGCCCCAGTGATGCCCCGCGGCGTTCCAGCCAAAGAGGGCAGCTGGTCGAGAGATACAGCCGGTACTAGGTATGTACAGCCCCCAGCACAGCACTGGTGCCCAGGCAAACCGCTGGTATCGCAAGAACCCAAAGGCACCAAAGGCATGGCGGGATGTCAATGACTCTTTTCTTCTGGCATCCCACGGAAAAGTACCCGGTCTGGGCAAATCCTTTCTGACTGGTGACTGGTAACCCAAATGTATTGTCTGCTTCCGTTAAGTGATTTCCCGTAATTCCGCGCGCCCTGTCTTTCTCCTGTCGCGGTTACAGGTCCCGTTTCCGTTATTGCGGCCTGGGTGTGGGTTGCCGGGGTACATGTCGAGGTACGTACCTGTGGAGTGTGGACTTTTGGCAGGGCATGGGTCCGGGTGCAGTGCCGTTGTTGTTGTTGTTCCGCTTGTTGGGCACACCCCCTGTCGCCCTTCCGTTTTCCTGTGTTCCGGCCAGGGAGGGAGGAAAAGCCAGGAAACGAGAGACATGGGCACGAAATTCACCTGCCCCATGGTACCCACGGTACCCACGGCATCCTGTTTCCTGGGACGTACCCTTGACACATATCTCTGCCCGCCCCTGCCCTTGTTCCCCAGCTTCCTGCTTTTGCTTCCCAGAGTTCACGAGATATAAGAAACTCACATCCCCATCTCATGGTTACCTTCAGCCCAACTTGTATCGACAACAATCCGATATCCACATCATCAACACATCTCATCATCGACTGATCAGCAACAAGCATCCACTTGGACAATCGACTACTACTACTTTTTCAGAAAACAACAACAGCAACAATGTACTCTTCATACGGTTCTTACAGCTCTTCGGCTTCTTCCAGCCGATCTTCTTCCTACGGCAGCTCCTACTCCAGCATCTCGAGGCCGATGGATATCTCTCCGATCAACATCTCTTCTTCCGGACCCGATGCCTCCTGCGCTTTCCCCTCGTGGCCCCGCCGCACCTCGCTCTGCGAATCCGAGTCTGACTACGAGCGCCCGACTTCCTTCCTTTCCGATGAGGACTTGATGGGCGATGTTTTCGACGACGATGTGCGCAGTGTTTCCAGCAGCGGCAGCTCGCCCATGCACTCTCCTCCCAAGGCGCCCTTCATGACTGAGGCCGAGATCCTCGAGATGCAGCGCGAGCAGGCCGCCTACCAGCGCGAGATGGTCAGCTTGCTCGTCAGGGAGAAGGAGAGGCGCAAGGCCCAGGCCAAGCGTCAACGCAGCGCCGGCAAGGCTTCTTCCAAGAAGAGCACCAAGAGCAAGCTCAGCGCCATGACTCCCATCGCCGAGTCCGAGTAAATATCGGATGCACGATGCAGCATGTGCCGTGGCGATTGCAACCTCGTTTTTATTGAGTAAGCTTACACTGGTTTGATAATTCCTCCATTTGGCATTCATCCGTGCTAACCATAACTCTTACAGTACCCCATTTTTGGCTTTTTGACCGCTTTTATTTCATTCTTCTGCAACCACCAGCATCAGCATCAGCATCATCGGCATTTTCATTAACACCATCTTCATCAACCCCCACGGGAAAAAGGCCTTTCCCCCACACATGTGTGTAACGGGCAAAAACCCTGCTTTGCATCCTCGGATGCGGATGTGCGGATCATGCACCGGCTTGTGCCTTTGCCGAGCTGCCCCGTGCGCGGATCATCACTTGAGTCGATGATGCCGTTCCATTTTCCCATCTGAAAAATGCCGCGGCACATCTCCAACTCCGGACCGACTCACGGGACTGGGGACCCTTGGGTGGAGACACCGTGATCAAGTGTGACGGTCAATGGGAGAGGACGAACAGTCGCCCGCGCATCGAGTCACACATTGACTGGGGGGTGCAACAAACACAGCAATACCCCGCGAACTCGACAATCAAGGCCTTCCAATCATTCAATCCCGACCAACCACAACCCAGTCGAAACCCGCCAAAAAGACCTGGCCTCTGCCTCCAAAGGACACAAACACCAAAGCATTCGCACATAGGAAAGTCGCAGCTGGACTCGCCAAGGGATGGTCGAAGATGATTGATCGATGCATCGATCTCATTTCCCGTTCCTGGTCCAGGTCCTTTCTCCTGTGCAACGCCACAATGTCTGCTCCCACGTTTTACAGCACGCCGCCCTGCCGCGCTGGCTGCTTCAAACAAAGAAGAGGACGGGCAGGTCTAGTCGGGTCGGACTGAGTCTGTGATACTCGGCCCCGACATCTTTCTTTCATCAAACATCCAACCCCTAGCGGGTTTCACTTCGCTTCTTCATTGTCTCGAGTTTCTTAGCTTTACTCTTAATTACTTTGACACGACTTTGCATGGGAAGACATACACACACACATACAATCAGGGCGCATCGGGTTGGGGCAACAAAAAGTTACTTTTTAGCATTTCTCGGAGTTTCCTTTCTGTTTTCCTTTGTTTTAAGCGCGGTTTGCGATTGATACCCCCATTTGTTTTTGTTTTTTCTCAAGCATTTTCAGGCAGTTTTTCTTATGATATTGATACCCCATTGGAATTTGGAAAGGCATAAATTGCCTTGAGGAGTTAGTTTAGTGAGCATTTGAAGTCTCAGTGGTTGCTTCTATAATTGAAACTTCTATCATCATCATCAACCTCATTATTTGATCTCTTCATTGCTTGCTTGTGACATGGTGCCTGCTTCACTCTTCTGCTTTCGATATGTCATTCGTCTTTTTACTTGGGAGCTTACATCAAAGGAAGATGCCCAGTCAGTGAAGGCCATACATACTCTTCTGATCGCAAGCAAGGACCTCATCGCCCAGTCAGTAGGTTGGTAAGTCCCAAGACACCATTCCATTCTCATTGCGACAGCGCAATCATACCAAACTCGCTCTTTCACTACCAAGTACATCTGTCTCGGTCGTCATCCATCGTTCTTTCTCCGAAGCGGGAGATGCTCAAATGCTATCATCCGATAACCTCGTCGCCTCCTAGCATCCATGTGACAGATCTCCCAAGTATATTCTCAACTCACCATGCCACGGAAATCCTACCTATGTGACTATCACCGTCGCATTCATTCGCAGAAGTCATAGCGGATTTCGACAATCACGTTCTTACTTTTTTTTTCTTCTCTACCCTGTCTGTCTCTACTAAAATGCTTGGCCGCGGCCTGCGGGCATTCACCAGCGAAATATTTTTCTTCGTTGGAGTCCTGTCTCCTCAACCTTCCTAAAAGGTAGTAGTAGCAGTAAGCCTACCTCTACCCTCTCAATCTCAATCTTACATTGCTCACAACATGTGAAAGTGAATCACATGTGAAGAATTTGACATCACCATCACCATCCATCACCATCACCATCACCGTAGCAGTACTAAGTATCCCGAACACCAACCCAGTCCCTCTACAAACCAGTTGCGTAGCAACAGAGTAGTAATACTATACTCCCGCAAATCACCGAACTTAGGCGAGTCGCAAGCCTAACCCTACGATCCATCGGAATTTCCCCGCCTACATATTTACATCATTCATTACCAACTAATTCCGCACTTGTTTGCAGAATCTGGTAAGGCGCAGCGTTAGCGGGCAAAGGGGCTCAAACAACTTTTTTTTTTTACCGCTGCTTTTATGTATACCGCTAATTCTCATTCAAGTCGGATTTATCCTTCCTACATACGGTCTAGTAGATCGGGGAAAGGACCTGCATGCCGGAGCGCCAACGTAGCAGATGGGGCTGACAGACTTAGCGAGACCACTCAAGACGACTGGCAAGTTCCAGCATGCGGGTGACTCGCAGCGGATGGCAGGACAGCACAGCTCCCAAACTTGAGTAGGACTAGTGGGACAGGGGGGGATAAATCCGACTTGAATGAGAAAAAGCGGTAGGTATCGTTTGATGGTGATCGACAACTTTTCCTAGTAGTGGATTACTTCTCGTTTTAAACGAGCGGAATGAGGCCGCGCGCGCTCGTGCGCTTGGCGTTTAAACGTTTAGTTGGACGACGGAAAACGGTCATCTCTTTATCACCAGTCCGTCACAATCACGGCTTCCTCTTGTGGGGTCCTAGATAATCCCCATCTTCACATGTTGGATTGTACACCCAATCTCGAAGGATTCTTAAGCATTGAAGAAAACAAGTGGACCCGATATCGTGCTAAAGTGTGCGGTTCCCACCGTGATGTGATGTGTGGGTGGGTTGTGATATAGACCACTGGCCGCACAAGCGCCCGCGTTAGTGATTAGTCACTTGACTTTCTGATAGTTCCGAGGAACTCCTACGTAGGCGGTACTTAGGTGGTGTATTCCCGAGTTGCAACGTACGCGAAGAATGGCGTGGTAAAGGTCGTGAATTATAGTTTTTGGTCGTTTGCTGTGTGGATATACTGTCAATGGCAAGAAAACGGCAGGTCCTTGGAGATGATGTTATCTTATCTTTGAATGGCCGACAGGCGCTGGTGTCCCTAAGACCACTTGACTCTCTCAGGTCTTTCTCCAGTTGGCCTTGTGAATTAGAGATTCGTACGACGCGCAAAAATTAGAGGTGAGAGGCGCAAGGCATGGAAGCAATCGTAAGCTTCTCTTCGGAGATTCTGGCCCGGACACGTCAAAACCTGTATATCAGATAGACAGCCGAGACTCGATCGACGATCTACTACTCGAGTGTCATGGCCTGCCTAGTCCACACCAGAGCAATACCTCTGACCCGGCGTACAGCAAAGTGAGACTGGTCTCACTCAATATTTTCTACCGCAACGTCAGCCAGCAGAAAACGTGCAATTAAGACCGAAAGCAAGGATCTAGCTTCGTAGCTTGAGTGGAAAAGGCTTTTTGAGTATCCGCTCAGGCATTTTTTCGTTCCTCTCAGAGTCAGTAGATGTCAGACACCGAGTGACAGAAACATAAAAAACGAGGCAAATGGGAAACCGGAAGCGGTGAAGACACCGACTGGATTCTAACTTGACCGCCTGGCGCCAGCAGCCGACCAACGTGGTCAAAGATGATGTCTTGGAGCGTCTATAGCGCTTGTCTCGTGTTATCTGAAGATTTCAGTGTAAATAAAGCTCACCCAACATGTGCATCCGTGTCCGTGGCAAAAAGAGTGCGCGGGATACACTGTGAAGTCTGCACAGGTAGCTCTCAGCCACTCTTGATATAGAATAGATATATTAGTGATCATCGTCCCGATCCGTACCGCACCCCGGACCTGTATTAGATCTTTTATGGTCATGCGGCGGCCATGCTGCCCGGGCCGATCATGGCACGGTTCACGATAGCGACCCCGGCCGGCGATCCACTGCGAGCTTGATGGCGGTTTGTCGATGTTGTCAACGAGCTGATTTGCTGTGAGACGAGGCCAGATGGGTCTAGATCTGTTTTGGTAGAGCTGAAAGGCCGAATGTCCCAAAGAGGGACAGGTGGACACTCTCAGATAAGCATTCGACATCGAACAGATGCGTGCCGTCTCTGACCCGTAGGGTCTTTTCAGACTTTGCAATTGTGTCGTCATTCCCGATGCCTGGGTTACCAGTTAGTCTCGAGTTTTCAGCTAGGCAACAAGTAATGTGGTCACTTACATGGTTCTGCTCGCTCCCGTACAAATCCGCGCTTGGTGACTCGACACAGCCAATCCAGCCGGTTGGCGACGACTCATTGTGAATATTGAGTGATAGTGATGGATCTGATAAAGAAAGGATTCCGAGTAAGATTACGGACAGGCTCAGCTCCGCAAGGCAAGATCTGATTGAGTCTTATGGAACCAGGCCTGTTTGTACTTGCTCAACCGAAGCTGGTGCATCGAGCGCGGAGGCGCGAATCCCAATGGGAAGGTTGGCGAACTCAGAGGCATTACATACCTACTAGTGATGAGTTTCTTACAAGTTCGTGGTAGTGTCCACATGGAAGATAGTGTCCCGAACCAACCAACGCGGTTGTTTGGTGGGATGGCAAGGTGCTTATTTTTAACCTTTTCTTCAGCCGTTTTCAGGCCAATCCAACGAGTGAAAAAAGAAAGGGGAAAAAGAAAAGAGAGCAGGCCAAACGTCATTGAAAAGCACATGCAACTGAACCATCGTGTGGTTGCGTTGTCAATGTCGCCATCGACACTGCTTCATTGTGCGAACTGCGACGTTAATGTCTAGATAATTGGGAGAATATTGAAAGTTGAGATAGGTCGGGTGTAGATAGCAGGCATCTGGATGTCTTTGATGTCCAGTGGGTAGGTAGAAAACAACCTTCGGAAAGATGGAAGATGGAATTGTCGACGATGTTTGTCAACAATGGAGATGTTGAACCCCGACAAGAAAATCCGGGGCAGGCAACTTCAAGCTTTGCTTACCTCATGTGCTCCTGCAGCCCCCGCGTTTTCTTCAATGTAGTTTGTGCATCTGCGGGCGGGAGCACGGACAAGATTAGATGATGGGAAGGAAGGTACAGACGAGATACATAAGACGATTCAGGGGGAAGGACCTTTCCTCGGTTGCGCTCGGACACCTTCTTCAATCCACATGCATGTCACCTGAACCACAGTTCGTCCCATTCGACTGAAGGAAGGAGCGCAGTGCGTGAACCCAATTAACTGGTTGAGGGGAAAGAACTGAAGAGAAGCAAAGATGGGCGTAGTTGTGCCTTTGGCCTCCAAGCAACGCCGCACGCCATAATGGGACCGTTATACTCTTCTTTGCTTTTTAAGTTATCAATATGATGAGCTAGCTGATGTGACGGATTGTTCCGCAAACATCGCTCTCTCTCAACACCTCGAGAACAGCATCACGATAACCCCACGCTTCCATGTCTCGGACAACCACCTCTGCGCCCTTACCTTTTTTGCTGTTGCTGCTTCACTTCTTTGTCCCATGGTTCCACGAACAAATTTCTGCTCAACACAGGGCAAATGAGGCCGGTGTGGTAACCTCAGGTCAAGGTTCGAATGCCACGCAGTGTTCGTTGCTTGGTTTCTGTGTTGCATGTCTCGTCCCTCCTCCTTGGGTAGGACGACAGCAATCCATACGAAGGGGAGCGTTCACCTCATGCCAGGCACGAACAGCCAAAGGTCCTGCGGTGTACAGGTTGAACGAGGTACGGGCGCGGGGGCGTTAAACGGATGCTTTGATCACTTGCAGAGGGGCATACCGATACCTAGCTACTGTATCTTTTTTAAGGCTGCACTTGCTTGGATGGGGGGCAATGAGATAGGTCGGAAGTGGAGGTATCGCCGTTATTGCTTGCGGGTATGTGGTAACCCGTCAGCAGAGAGTAGTAACCTCGCATGCCATGTCACGAAATGCGGCCGTGGCATACTTAATCGTGGGTGCATCGTGTCCGGCACCAAAGCAGTGTGAGGCATTGGTTGGTCTCCCAGTTCCTCTTGAATATCAGGAACCGGAGCGGGGAGGTCACCATCCTGTCTGCGTAACCTGAGCATAGCTGCAAAGCTGCAAAATGGCAACCTCTAATGTTGGTGCTTTTGTTGAGTTGCTTGCTCCGTGTTAGACAGGATAGCTTCCGTCAAACAAAAGCTTGACAGGGCATGGGAGCCCACGATCTTCGTCCACCTCATCCTTCAACAATCGGCAAATGGTAGACGATACGCCCCTTGCAATGAATCGGCAATAGAATCCCATCTCCTTAGTGTTAGACTCCGATTCTGGGCTCTGGAGACGACCCTTTCAACGAAACGCAGAGAAAAAAGACGAATTGGATTCCACACTTGCCCTTGACATTGTGATTCCAGGCAGGTATCGGTTCGCCGGCACCGAAGATATCTGAAATGCGACTGTCCTGCCTTTAAAGATCGAGGCCACCACTTTGGCATTGATGGTTTGGCTGGATTAGGGTTGCAGTAAGATTAACAGGGTCCGTGGCGTAGAGAAATGGTGGTTTAATCTCTAGTGTTCAGTTAAAGTGCAACAACATCAGACTTCATACCGGACCTGCATACGGGGGTGATGGTGCCCTGATGGTGGGGTTGATAGGTAGAAGCAGTCCCATCAGCTTCATCACAAACACGATGAAGCTGCCGGATGGGGGTTTCAAGTTTGCAGCCGAACCCTCCACTGCCCTCCTCTTCGAAGTGATGACTAAAATGTCGAGTATGTAGGTACCCGATCACATTCCCATGAGTGATGCCGCACGGATACCGCTCAACCGGTCCAGGTTCCGTAGCAACGGGTATATCGTGAGATCAATACGAGTCCAAAGTCGGATGTGGAGTACATGGGCGTCCATGATGTAGTTGGAAATGAAGTTATCGATGTGTACCAAGAAAATGTTGATTTGCACAGTACAGAGAAGAGGTGAAGTGAAAGGGAATCCTGGGCAATCGGCGCCTATTTGGGATCCTCGCTTGTTGGAGACTTGTTCGGATTTCGGATATGAGCAGCGGCCGCTTATTGTGACGAAACTTTTTTTTTCTCAGCACACGTCGAACAATTTGCTCGAGTAGTTCGTGATGAACAAAATTGCCTGTAATCCTCATCACCTAGGCAGATAGTGATGCCGGCTTGCTCGTTGCAATGCGATATGATCCATCACCCTGGACTCGGGCAAGATGGGAACTTGTTGGAGAATGTCGTACAGGTGGTTCCTGATTTTCTGCATCTGTCTTGGCAACTGGTGTTCCACGGTTCCAGCCAATGCACGGAAGAATCGAAGCACTGGCAGGATGGGTTTTACCTAGCCAATGTGTTGGTGAATCTGGGTTGTAACTGGCGTGTTGCGTTGTGGTCGGTTGTCTTTGAGGAAGGAGAACATGGAACGAATATGATGACGCTATAAAAGACTGACAGCATCCAGAATGGAACAAAGACAAGAACGGAAGGATCGATAGCGGATGATAGCGGATGAAGGGCGATAAGATCAATGATGAAGCTGGATGGATGTCGGCGGAGGTGATGACGGAGCTGATTGGTGCGTCTGTGCAAGGACGTGGTTGCCAATCGACCGCGAGGGCGCTTAAGGCCCCTGCTTGTGCCTTCCTCATCCCGGCCAAAGCACCTCAAGCCTGCCGCCCCTGGACCCATTTCCCCACTTTTCACCCACTTCACAACTTTCGCAGTGTTCTTTTTGCTGGCCAACCAGACGCCGACTTTGCACTTTTTCACTCTCTCCGAGGCTCTCTTCAGACTCTTTTCAGACAGCATCTGTCACCTCTCACCAACAGGTCGAGGCCAATTGATACTGTGACTCGACCATCCTTATTATAACAATTGCCATTATTGCTGTTGGGCATGCCAGTGGCGTTTCCTGTGGTGCAAATGGAAGAGACTCGAACTCGAAGCTCGACTCCACGTCCTGTCCTCGACGACATGCCCTGGAGAATGAATTCGACGGCCACCCACGCTACGGACGATAGGATCACTTTTATGAATGAAAAAGCCTGGAGGTGCCCTGGACACCACAGCTGCAGATCCCGCCGCTGCAAAGCAACCCTCGACTGGCCATCTTGACAGTGGTTATTCATGCTTCTTCACAGCACACGGCAGCAGAAACAACATGAACAGCACCAAAGCAGCAAGCAACACGCAAGGTACCGCTCGTTCTGTGTGTGTGTGTGTCTTGAGTCTTGAACCAAACAGATCCATCCGTGCAGTGCTCTCCCCGGTACACCGAGTGGTTGTACAGCCTCTCTTTGGACTCCAGACACAGTAGGTACACTATGCCACCGTTGGGCGATGACCTATATCCACATACTTGTCTATATACCTGTAACCACAGGCGATCCTCCAGAGGCTCAGGTCCCCATTGCCCTGCCCGGCTAACTAACCGCCCCAGACACTCCCCAGACTCCGGCTGTCGAGAACCTGGAATCACGACGACGACGTCAGTGAACAAGGGCAAGCCATCATGGACTGCATTGTGGCAAGCATCAGAATTCTGAATGGGAACAGTGGTACGTCGAAAGCGGACTCGCCAGAAGCAGAGGGCTGCTAATTAGGGCGGAATATTGAACTACTGCACATGCCACCATTGACACGCCCAGATCAATGTCACCTCGCCCACTGACAATCCCGTTGATGTTCCTCAAGGTATTGACCGGGGGCATCCGTCCAGTCCCCTCTCTAGTTTACACAGTGCCCTCTCGCGTCGTGCCCCTGTTGCGACCTAACCAGATTTCCATCTTTTCCACGCAGGGCAGCCAGAAAGCCAGACGGCCAGACGGCCAGGCCAGCGAGAAGAGAGGATGGCAAGATGGATGAATTCGCCCTCTGGATTCTCGAAATGGCATGAATTCAGGGGAGAGAGATATTTGCCCCCCAGTCCCCAGAGCCACCCTCAGAAAAGGACTAGCAGGATAGGGCCGCCATTCAAAGGATTTCACCTCCTCCACAACGAGGACGGGCACGCCTCGCTAGCAGCAAGCCTAGGAGCTAGGAGCTAGGTTGGGAACCTGGAGTCAGCTCCTCACTGGGCAAGGGTTCATTTTATGGATGCTTTCTCGTGGCATGCACTGTCCAGTGACAGCTCGCCTCCGCGTCCTGGACTCTGTGCTAAGCGCTCGTCAGGTTGGCCCGAACTTATCTGCTGCCACACACCACCACTCACGTTGGTGCAAGTCACAGGCATAATCATCACCTTTTTTCCTTTCTGCTTCTCTTTCTCCTTACCCGCTGCCAAACCAACCTAACCCTCTGCTCCGCGCATCCAGCTGTTTGCTGTTTGGGATCATCAGACAAGAGCATCATCTCGCAGCACGACAAGCGCCGGGCACAGCACCCAGCTCCGGCCTTTCTTTCTTGGACCATCATCCCACTTGAATTCTCTCATCCATGACCTCAGGCGGGTAACCTCGAAGCCAGGTCCTCTTACCGCCCCCTCCTCCCCTCCTCCTCATCTAGACAGAACTACAACCTTTTGCCATACACGCCTCCTGCGTCTCCCGCGCCGTGTGTCTCGTTTCCAGGACCGTTCCCGTGCAACCCTACCAGTTCCGGATTTTTTTCCCGCTCACCTTCGATTTTCCCCTTCCAACCGACATTCATTGCGAAGAAACTCCTCTCAACAAACAGCTTTACTCGGACGAGTCACGATTGTCACAGTAACGGCCATCGATTCCGGAGGAAATAAGCCCGTGTATGCCACAAAGGATAGCCTCGAGCTCCGTACTCTCGGCGTGCTGAACGTGGAGGAACAGCTTGGGCGGGAACAGACAGCATAGTGTCCCATGTGATGACTGGGGTTCGGATTGTGTAGCCTCGCCACGCGTCCTGGTTCGTTAAGAAGCCCCGGAGGGTGATAGCTCCCTACCGCTCGGTATGTTCTACTCTTGTACGCCGTCCGCTCCCGGCCTGCACCTTGAGAGTTCCGGGTTGGCCATTTCATGCCTGGACCGAAAGGTACATACGGACTGCCGCCCATGCAGCCTCCCGACTAACAATTTGGTCTCAAGATCTTCGACCCAAAGGACATAATAACTCCTCCCCACATATTTTGTCACCATGTCGGTCCCCGGACACATCTCGAGAAGCCGTACCGGCTCGATTCCAGCCTCATCCAAGGGACGGACTGCCCACATGCAAGACTTCGCCATGGCTCCGACCCCGAGCGCCGTTCCCCGGTACTTTGAGCCGTGTGCGGCCACGGCCTCCATGTTCCTATATGCCCAAGGCAGTTCGATTGTATGCTGTCATCATGACAGCCTCACAATAGAAAGGAGATTTGCGCGCCATACCGAGGAGGTGCAACTATTAGCAGTCGACAACCTCAGTGAGATGGGCACCGGGAGGCTGGTTGTCAGTTATGATGCCGGGCAGACTGCGATTGTATGGGACCTCATGACTGGAGATGAGGTTGCAAGATTTGCCTCGTATGAAAATCTTACCTGCGCTGCCTGGATGCGCAATGGCAATGTTGCGTTTGGTGGGTATACTTCTGCTTCATCTTTCGTGTAGCCGTGGCTAACTGGGTGGAAACAGGCAACATCCAAGGCAACGTGATCCTCTTTGAGCCTACTACGTCTGAGCACATCTCTGCAAGAACTATTGATCAAATCGCCATCACAGCTATTGCCCCAGCAGCAGATTGCAGGACCTTTGCCATTGGGTAAGTACAAGGCTTCCAGTGCATCTTTAGGATGGTGCCGAAACTGACTGGCTTGCTACAGGTACCAAAACGGCTCGCTCTTGATCGCAACACTTCAGCCTAGATTCACCATCCTTCACAATCTTACTACCTCACGCGGGCCTTCTCCCATCGTAACACTAGCATGGCATGCCTCGTCTTCACGGCAAAAGTCGGACATGCTGGCCGTGCAAACACACGATGGCGATCTCCGTGTGTGGAGTGTGTCTAAACAATACAATGCCGATGATCCGGCAAAAGTGGTAAGAATTTTGAAAAGGACAGAAAACTATCTCACAGGCCCGAACTGGATGGGGTGGTCCAAAAACGGTCGTATTATTCAGTATTCAGAAGGGTAAGTCCGTTCAATTATGGTACCTACCGCTCTTCATGTGATCGCTAACACACTTGTTCCAATAGTGAAACGATTTCATGGGACGTGAGGACGAAACACGTTACTTACGATACCATCCCAACCTTGGAACATGCCAGGGGCTTGGCTCTTCATGGTCCAGGAGCAACTCTCTTCACTCTCGGAGCGAATAACTCGGTCCAACAGTTCGATCTGAACGCACCGGCCATGATGGTCAACAGCGTTCAACACCCAGCTAACCTGCTACCTCCTTCGCCGCCTATCTCGCTCGAAGAACAGGAAAAGAGCCAGACCGCGATGCATCACAACGTCGACCCGGGAGTGCCAATTGCTATTCACGCTGATCTATCTGAGAGTGATGACCACATGTCACCGTTAGCTAGGCTTGTTCAAGGGCAATCTGAGCCTGACCCATATCGCCCAACGAGCCCTACCTCAAGCCGAAGTCGATCCAGTGTCTCCATCACATCATCCAACTCAAACACTCAGGGGCGAAATCATTATGCTCCATCCGCGATTTCCCGTGGGATGACGGAGAACACGTACATCTCAGCGGGGTCTTCACTGAGATCAGGTTTGCCCGGGCAGGATCACCGGTACAGGCGAGATAGGGAGTCTTTGTCGACCACGAGCTCCGTCTCTATGGGCAGTTCAAACTATCGTTCGAGAAGGCCATCACGGTTGCGTCATGAAGTGCCTCGCAGTCCCGATGACGCGAAAGTTGTCGACCTATTCAAGTTTACCAAAAGCCGTCTTCAGGATATGCCCTACAAGACGCCACAAATAAACGATGGTGTCCGACTTACAAACGATGATCTGCGGCGTCAGATGCTGAGCACAATATTCGGATGGAACAAGGAGATTGAAGACCTGATTCGGGATGAAATGTCTCGACATCCTCTGGGGTCTACGAATCGGATTTTGCTTGCGAAATGGCTGGGAGACATCACAACCGATATCATGGCTATGGGATCAGAGAATATGACCTCGTCTGATTGGATGCTTTTGGCTCTCAGTGGTATTGGAGGACAGGCATCACAGCACAAGCTTGGGCGAGCCTATGTGCAGCGGTTATTGGAAAGCGGCGATGTTCATGCGGCGGCAACCATCATGATCGGATTGGGCGACCACAACGATGCGATTGAGATCTACGTCTCCCACAAAAAGTACATGGAGGCCCTGATCTTGACCTGCCTCTTCTTCCCATCGACTTGGGAGCGTCAAGTCCAGATCGTGAGGAAGTGGGGAGAGTGGGCTGTACAACATGGCCAACAGCAGCTCGCCATCCGATGTTTCGCTTGCACCGGCCATGAATCCACAGAGCCATGGACGTCACCTTCAGCCCAGCAAATCACGTTCGGAAGCATCTCAGCGACTGTCAACGAGGTCACCAGCCCCCCACTCTCGCCCCCTGCCAGGAACCATGGCCCCCAGCGGAGCGTTGCGAAGAATTCAGCCCTCAAGCTCATTACCACCTTTGGAGATAACAAGTCGAAATTCTTCTCTGGGCTCGATGGTGGTAGGACTCCTATTGCGGCAGGAGCCACCCCAATTGTCCAGTCAGCCCTTTCACCTGGCGGAGCTGACCCTGCTACTGCCGTGCTACGGAATAACCGGAGTCAGTTCAATACTCCATCCTCTGCGCGCCCACCAAATGGGGGTTTCGGTCGACATCGTCTCCCATCCATCGGAGAGGCAACCCAGGATAATCGCGAGCTTTTGACCGCCATCAGCAAACCAGCCGGTGATCCTTACGCGAATATAATGTCTTTTGAGGTTTCCGATAGCAGAACACGGGGGTACGACTTGCCCAGAGCACAGACTGCCAGCCCTCGCATCTTTAAGGACACCAAAGCGCCGCCGCCTCCTTCTCCCTCGCCCGCCGCCGTAGCGGCACTGATGGAATCCGGCAGACAAAGACGGAATGGGTCTCGCAGCCGCATTCCAGAAGGCCTAGACCTATCTCTGCCTGTGTACAACGACACACGCCATGATGAACCGAGCTCCCCTGAACAGTCCGGAAATTCGATTTCCAACGCACAATATCACTGGCCATCTAGGCGCAAGGGACCAGGTTCTGTGGCCAGTTCTGCAACATCTGCATCTGCAACATCTAGTGTTCGAGGCTATCGCACCAACGTGCCTGGCAAGAGTATGGATAAATACTACCATAGTCTTGAAGCTGCTGGAAGTAGTAGAAACGCCAGAGGAACCAGCCGAGATGGTCGTGGCAATGGTCGCGATACCAGCCGCTCACGCAGGAACGACCGGGATCTGTCCAGAGACCGCGGTAGAGGTTCATCTAGGGGTTATACGCCCAAGGGTGGGAAGAGATCTCCAAAGTCTCCAGTTCCGATGTCTCCTGAAGACTTGATCAACCTTGCTACTCCTCGGGAGGATCTTGAGCAACTCGGTCATAGTAAAGGGCGTCTCATTGACTTCTCGGACGAGCAAGATCAGCCCAGCGTGGTGAAGAAGGTCGCTGCCCGCCGTGAAACATCCAGGGTGCGAATGGTAAGCCGTGGTGCCAGTAGGAATGGCCGCAGCTCGAGCCGCGCGCGCAGTTCCGAGAGACGCAAGCCCCCAGCACTCGACCTCCGTGGTCGTGAAGCCAGCCGCGAAGGTTCCAGGCAGAGATCGCCATCTTCCCCAGTGCCCATGTCAGGTCAGGCGCATTTCTATGGCTCAGAGGATGAGGATGATTACAGAAGGGCGTTGGAAGACCGCGAGAGGTTCCGCCAAAGGCACAACCGGAGTGTAAGCAAAAACGGCAGAGGAGAAAGCATTACATCGCCGATCTCCAGTCGAGATCATGGCTGGGGTGGCCGTGAGAGGTCTACAAGTCGCCAGAGGTCAGACAAGAGGTCGGAAAGCCGCCAAACAGACCGCAGAAAGCGCATTCCTGCCCCGATGCCCACGCCTGCGCCGATGCAGCTTGTTACGGACAGTTCAGGCGACTTGAAAGTCATGATCAACGAGAGACAGCTGAAGAAGGAGCAGGCACAGCGTGAGCTTGAAGAACGTCGGAGGTCGCTCGCACGAAGACCGTCGGCGCCCCCGATCCTGCATCCTGATGAGCTTACTCCTGCCCGGTTGGACACCGTCATGGAGCTGCCGAGCACCGTCTTTGTCCCTCCTAGGAGAGAAGATATGCCAGCACGCAGTGCGAGCGTTGATCCTAGCTCTCAAGGTGCTGGAAGGAGCATGTATGCCAATCGTGGGCCATCGATTGGTCTTCCTGCCACTCCGAAAGCTATGCGCCTGGTTCTTGGTTCGGACGCCAGCAGGAACAATGTGCCCGTTCCCGCTATCCCCGCGAGCTTCCAACAGACCTCGGCCGCAAACTCTAACCAGGCCTCGCCGGATAGAGTATCACAGAGGCAGGTTGAGCTCAAGCAACAAGAGATTGAACCGCCGATGAAGAGTCCTGCAATGCTGCTTCCGTCGACCGTCTACACTCCACCCCCATCGTCATTCAACCGACCAGCCATTCAGAGGTCCATGTCTGCTCCTCCTCAAGACCTTGTGCCCCCTCAGGCAGGTGCTTTCGGCAACCTAAGAGGGTTCCACGCTGCGAAGCCCAGTGTGGGTGGCGAACCGAAGCCCATGATGGGTCGCAGGCCATCTCATGATGCTGGCCGAAACGACGGACCCATCCCTCCCCCTCCCCCTCCGCCCCCAGCGCCGCCCATGCTCAGAGAGCTTCAGCATCTTGCTGTTCCTCCGCCACCACCGCCTGCCCCGCTTCCTCACCTGGCCGGTGCTAAGCCAGTGGTATACGGAGGAAGCTCAGGAATGATTGAGATCGTCATGGACGACGACCAACCACAACAACCACCTCCGCAACCGCAGCAGCAGCCCCCTCCTCCACCCATGCTGCTGCCTTCTACTTCGTACACACCCGTCAACACGGCGCCTATCCCCAAGGAAATTGTGGTCCCCATCCTCTCTCCTCCCGCGCCCTCCTCGCGGAACGGACACGCCCGTGGCCGCAGCAGCATCGACAACAGCATCGGCGGTCGCTTCTCGCGCGTGACGGAGCGCATGCGCTCGGCTAGCCGTAGCAGAGGAGCGATGAGGGACAACCAGGGAGCCGCTCCGATGATTGCTCCGTATGAGAGCGTGCCCGTTATGCCGCAAGGCATGAACTTCCAGATGCGTGCTGCTGCCGCTGCCGCTGCCGCTGCTGTTCAGCAGCAACCGGGCCAGAGCGAGTTCAAGACGGGATTGCATCAGAGTGAGATGATTTGAGATCGATATGGATGAATGATGCGGCATGGCATTGTGGTTTTGTTTTTTTTTTGCTTGTTTCACTTCAACTTTTTTTGGTTCTTTTCGATTCTGATTCTTAAACCCTTATGAGTCTGCATGGCGATTGGCGTTAACTTAACTGGTTTCACCATAACACCTTTTCGCTGTGGTCCGTTTACTTCTTTTGGATGGGGATATAGGGGATGATTATGTATGTTTGCTTGGTGAAAAAGAGATACCTTGATGGTTGTTTTGTTATTTTTGTGAGCACACACGTTGAGACGTGGGCAGCCTTGTTTTTTTTGGATACAGGTAGTGTTGTTCTATACATGCCATACTCCGTTTGTGATGTATGGGCTGGAGACAACCAGGCGGTTAGGACAAAGGGTGATGATGAATGGAAGGATGGGTGTTAAAAAGAATTATTTTTTTCTAGCAATGCTCTCGCTCCCACCCTTATCTGGGCCTGCTCGTCTGTTGTGTGTGCATTGCTTGCCGTTCTACTCATATTTTATTAACCCCCATCCTGCCGACTTCATCGACCTCATCAGCCTCACCAAACGACTTGGTCAAATACACACAACGATCCGGTTACATCTTCAACACAGCCTCGTTTGTATAGTCTTTGGGTACACGTTTTTTTTTTTTGAGGACAGTCAGTTTGAATGGGTATATATACAACCTCTTTTCCCAATGCTAAATAAACCCCCAGGCAGAAAATGCAAATGCCACCAAAACACAAAAGCACACACGAAAATACAATGCTCGCTTTGCCCGCCTGCTTGATTGCTTGGTAATCCATTAAATGCATAATACAACACATCCATCCATCCACCTTTTCGTTCGTGTTTACCACGTCACTGTCTCTTTTTTCCTCTCAAATATGATAACCTAACCGAGAAAAGGGGCAAGGGACAAAACCTAAGATAAGCAAATGAAAAGAGAACCGTAAATCCAAGAACACCAAGTTCAGTACTTCAGCACTTCAGTACTTTAAAGACGACAAGACTGCCTCCAGGCTTTCTAGTCTTGACTCTTTGGACATCCTACTCGGGGTGGTTGTCGTAATTCTTGTACTTGTACTCTTCATCGAGGATGCTGACGACGATGACGATAGTCGCGACGATGACAACGATAACAGAGACGGACGCGAAGAAGGTGGGAGGGTGAGCAGTGGTGAAGCTGTGCCACTGCCGCTACGACTAATGGGAAGGCGAGACTTCTAGTCTTCTTCCTTGGGCCATAGTCTGTTTTGGTCGATGAGATGGTTAGTAGTTGCCTAAATAAGGGTTGAAGACCATGTATACTGCTGCTGTGCCGCCAGGGAAGTCGATGAAACGGGCTCAGAAGTTCAGGGTAAAGTAGGGGGGAAAGGAAACAGAAGAACGAGGTAGAAGAGGATACGGGAATAGGCAAGAAAGAAAAGAATAAGAAAGGTACTCACAACTCCCTCCTCCAAATACATTCCAACATGCGCCAAAACACCACAATCCACACCAGTATGATACACCCCGTCAACACGCACCCCAGAATCTTCAGCCCATCGCTCTCAAACGCTCTTCCTAATTGCTCCGTCGCCGTCACCAGCGCCGTGTTGGGAAACACAAACGAGAACCAGGTCATCTGGAAGTGCAGCTTGCTTTTGCCCTCCGGCCTTAAATACTTCCACAGCGAACCGACGCTCACCAAGAAGAACCAACAACTCAAACCCCAGAGCCAGATCCCCGCCATGTAAGCCAGGATGCGCAGGATGGGAATAGCAACGCCGCCCTGCGTACCCAGGAAATCGGAGGGGAAGAAATCGGGGGCGGAGTTGGCGAGCTGTACTAGCCCGGCCGTGGTGAAGGCACCGGGACCGATGGAAATAAAAACACCGGGTCGTTGGTAGTCGCGGGGCAGCTTCTGGGTCATGAGGCGGTAGAGAAAGGCGGCGCAGATCATGAAGGAGATCAGGAAGCCGGTGCCTTGGACGGCGACGGAGGCGAGGGCGATGGAGATGGGGTTGATCTTGTTGGTGTGGCCGGACTTGATGGAGGCGGCGATCAGGTTGGCGCCGTAGGGCGCCGTCAGGAGAAGCGGGTACGCGGGGAAGACCCATACCGGCGTCATGGTGTGGATGGGGAAGACGGTGGTGGACCAGAGAAGAAGGTATAAGAAGGCGCTGATGGTGAAGCTCAGGCCGACGTAGATCCAGAAGATTTTTTCCATGGCTTTCAGCAGCCAGGGGCCGGTGTTGGGGATGCCATATTGGCAGATGGTGATGAAGATCGTTCCGGCTCTGGGAAGGAGGGTTGGTTAGATTGATGACAACGGGCAAAGGCAAGGGGGGTAGGAAGGACCGAGATGGTGTACGTACGAGACAATCTCAACTAGAAGCGTTAGTATTGAGTACTATTTTTCAAGGAACTGATGGGATCTTGCAGAGTGATGAAGTAGACTCACAATTGAAGAAACGAAGAGTGACTCGGTTTGGTCATTAAGCGAATGCAGGAAGCTGCCTGCGCTCCAGACAAACCGAAGTGTGATACAAATACAGTTTACCGTAAAAAGAACAAGGTTAAGAAAGAAGAAAAAGAGGCCAACGCCGGTCAACCATTGACTCTTGTATGGTACTGTGATGTTTGGTCCGAGTTAGAACATTGCAACTCTCTCCCTATGTGGAAGTGCAGTCAAGAGAATGGGATGAACCTACTAGAATGAAGAACATTGGCAACACCCCCGGTGGCCATAGTCATGGTGAACCATGTCCACTGATAACAAGTGATGCGATCCCTAAGGCTCACTTTGCGCTTCGACAAGTTACGCCCTTTTTTAAGCATGTCATCCATGCTCACCTTCATAGGGCTGTTGTTGCCACCACCATTTTGACGGCGGGATGAGGGTCCGGAGGAGGCTCCGGGCCGGTGGTGGGTTGGGTCCGGCGTTATATAACCATCTTCAAGTTCGGACGGGGATTCATAACCGCAATAGCTGTGAACCGGAGGAGCCAGTGTTGGTCTGGAGAAATACGATACATTTCGTTGAGGTTGTTGTGGTTCTGGGGCCGATATGCTCCGGGGTAGAGGGGCCGGAGGCTCGGAGCCGGGAGCGACCGGAGACGGGGAGGTGGTAGTGGTACCATCGCTATCGGTGATGGTTACACGAGCAGTACTGCTGCTGCTCCGCCAGGCTTGAAACATGCCGACAACAGGCGGTAGATCAAATAGAGCGGTTCGACGTAGTTAGGCGCGCCAATGAGATCCAGCTGCCTGCTGTTGTTGGAGATATTGACCAGGGAGACGACGAAGACGATCAGGTCAAATATGGTCTCTGCCACCGGAGGTCGTACGGACATATTCTTTGTATGGGATCGGAGGCGTGCCAGGGACGGAGGCACGCACAAACAAGGGGGTGGATGGTATTATATGGCGTAGTAAGGTGACGCGGAGGTTGTGAGTGATCGGCCTGGGAACTAAACAACCCCCCCCCCTGCAATATCAAGGGACCTGATTTTTTTTCTCCCAACGAAGGTTGCTTTCTGCTCTTTGGAAATCTGGGTAACCGTTTCGGTCGTCCAGTCCGTCCAGTCCGCTACTTCTTCCACCACTTGACTACCTGAGAGAACACGGGGGGCCCGGCTGGATTGTCTTGGTGCACCAGTAACACCGGGGTACTCGCTAGACGCTATTCTCGAAGCATTTCGTCGAATGCCAGACTAGAATGTTTAATTTCCTATCGTCGGTGATACTACCCCTTCGCTTGGGTAGAGGAAGGTTCCAGAGGTGAGGCGGTGTGTGGAATAAAGGTGTGTCGGGTGTGAGTGGTCCAAGGGGAAGTTCCCCTCCTTCGACTAGAAGAGAAACAGAGATCGGCATCCTGTATCCGTCTCTACTAGTTCTAGGGCAGTCCAGGTGTAAGTCCCCATGTCTAGCCCCGCTGCGCCTGTTAGAGCTTTGTTAGTGTTAAGAGGCAGTTACCAGATGGTCGGTTGCCCTTGCCATCTCAACAAAAACCCCTGTGATACTTTTCATCTGATCTCTCTCATGTCGGATTTGCACATGATAAGAAAGTTTTCTTTCTGTCTAGATCTTCTCTGGTTCCTATCACATGAAGTTCTTCTTCCCTTATAAAAAAAAACTGGAGAAAACCTGCATAAACCGGACGGTTTTACACAGCCTAAACGCAAGACGTTAACAAGCAGAAAAGAACGCTACCACTAACAGCACCCCCCTCAGCGAAACCTAGCCACATGGCCAAGCCCTCCATGGATAACCTCCACGCTTTCAAAGACAACATGACGACGGCTTCCACAACCAACGTCATAAGTACTCACTTGGCGGCACCCCACCAGAAAGCGTAATGGGCAATGGTGGTTCCAGAATATTTCTTTTCCAGAATTTCACCTCAACTTGTATTGCGGCACCGAACACCAATGAGCAACCTCAAATGTCTTGTTTTCGGAGAGAAAACACAAACCACAAGAGACACAGACCCTCGCTATGATGTAGGCAATTGTCCTCACTTGGCCCACGCAAGTACGCAACGGCATTGCCGCATTCCCGCTGTCAGTCTGTCATGCAGTCCCGTCCTCGATCCTGATGATGTGCTTCGCTGCCATGAGTCGCTCGCGGCTTGGGATCGGCACGGCTATCTGTGCCGAAGGAGGGTATCCGGTGCCAGGCGTGAAGATTTTTGTGATGAACAAATATTCTGAGAGGAGAGAGCATGCACTCTTTGCACAGTTCTCCATCCTTCCTCTTCAACATCGGCATAAAGTAGGCAAACCTTTCTTTTTTTTTTCCCTCTTGCTATCACCTTCACGAGCTGATGAAATCTTTTGTGGACCGTCTACACAAGACGTCAAACCGTGTCGTGCAACGTTGAAGTTGTCAACGGACGTGCCGCAACCACAAGAGAGAAGCAGGAAGGGTTACACGATCTTTCCGCTGATACTACCCCTGGGTAGATCTTGTATCACTTGCATGAAATAATGCATTCATTCTCATCTAGCTGACGTTGCTGAGGGTTTCGAGGTAGGCTAAAAGTGTCCGCTTGTCAACTCTTAACTTTGAAGACTGTTGATCAAACTTCAAGTCCTCGCTTGGTTAGCATCTCTCCTTGAATGACCATCGACTTTCGCTAGGAAAACAGGTCTCGGGCGCATGTGTATAGGTTCAAGCTGGTTGCCTGTACTGTCATCGTCCTCCGGTACGGCGAAACTCACCTGTCAGAAACGTCCTCCCTGTACATCACTGTGCCTCTGCCAACTGAGAAGTTGGCAATGGTTAAAGATCACAGAGCAAGTCTAACATGGTGCGACTACCTACTTTTACGAACCATTGAAAGGCGTAGGCGTACTCACCCGGTCCTAAGGTTCGTGAGAGGGTCGCCGTCAAACTGTGGATATCCGAGAATCTCAAGGATAATGCCACAGGCAGTGCTCGCATGAGACAAGATGCGCATGCATGGTTGTACCAAGTAGCAGGTAGTACACCACTTCGTTCTCCTTCTCCCCAGTGACACATAGAAGTACGAGACATGGCCGAGTTTCCATGTTTTTGTGCTTTTTGTTGCAACCAAAGTCTAAAAAGCAGTCGAGACAGCAAACCAACCATCCACTACGTCGTTCCATCATCTCCAAAAGAGATCAACTTTTCTACCCCAAGCCCGCTTCTTCCTACCCTAACCCTTCTTGGAAAGGAATCCCGTATGAGTTCCGTAAAACGCCTTTCGAAATTCGATCTGTCTCATCATCTCAGAGACCTCACTCTGTATAGCCTCCAGATGTGATGGATATAAGTGTATTCTTTTTTTGTTTACCCCCGTGGAAGTGCAGCCCCAAAAACTGAAAAACGAAAACGCCGGATATGATAATCGAGAAAATGCTGATCATGTCTGTCCAAGGTTATATATGCAGTTTTACTCGTAGTTGAAGAGCACGCTGATCGATTCACCGTGGTGGACGCGCCGCATCGCCTCGGCGAAGATGGGGGAGATGTCCAAGACGTCGAGCTTGGATCCAAGCTGCTTCTTGTGCTCGTCCTGGGGAACAGAGTTGGTAACGACCAACTTGTCAATCGCCGAAGCCTTGACGCGGCTGATAGCGTCACCGCTGAAGACACCGTGAGTCAACAGGGCGTAAATGGTGGTGGCGCCCTCCTTCTTAAGAAGCTTAGCAGCTCTGGTGATAGTGTTGCCGGTATCGGCAATGTCGTCGAGCAGAATGCAAACGCGGTCAGTAACGTTACCCACGAGCATCATGCTAGCGTTCTGGCGATCGGTAATCTTGGTAGGGCGGCGCTCCTGTGATTCTTTGTTAAGTGGTAATCCAGTGGGGTGATCCGTAGGAGGGGTTTACCTTGTGAATAAGGGCGAACTCCATGCCCAAGCTGTCCGCAATGGCAGTCGCGCGCTTGGCACCACCAGCATCGGGGCTGATAATGACGGCATCCCTCCAGTTAGGAATGTGCTGCTGGATGTAGCGCTTAAGAAGCGGTTGTCCGTAGAGGTTATCGACAGGGATATCGAAGAATCCTTGGACTATACGGGGAACAAGTTAATCTATCAGCCGTGACCAGCGTCACGGGACGAAAGGACAAAGAATGCGCGACTACTCGCGCAAGTGTGTTTGTGTGTTTTCCACGTCAACCGGGACACGTACCTTGAGGGTCGTGGAGATCCATGGTAATGACTATACGGACATGAGTTAGCAGCTATTTCCTGGGCACAGGCAATCTCTCATGTCGCGTGTCTCTCGCGACTGGTCTGTAGGCCCGAGATCGTTCGGACCAGAGACCATATTGTTGGAATGACGTACCATGGTCGCAGCCGGCGCAGGTCAAAAGGTTGGCCACAAGGGTACCCGCCTGCGCAACCCACTGCTTGTAACCGGGCTTGGCCTGGAAACCGTTGACGATGGAGAGATTCTCATAGTCATGGGTAGTATACTGCTCCTTAGAGACACCGTTCGTCAGGGCGTTCTTGATCATCTGGTTGGCGATGTCGGAGCTGTTGGTGAGGCCGGAAGTCTTGGGCACGCCGGGACCGGGGGTGGGCGGGACACTGTCGAAAGTGTACTCCTTCTTTCCATTCTCGCCGCTGGGGGTGGGCGCCTTGTACAAAGGAGCGCCGGCCTTGTTGTAGGGCAAGTCGGGTTGCCTCGAGTAGGGGAACAAGGGAAGGACAGCGGTGACTCTGCGAGCAGAACCAGTCTTGCAGGCAGAGATCATGATGCAGAGGTCCATGAAGTGATCATTGAGCCTGCTGCCATTGCCACCGAAGCCAGTCTGGATAATGTAGACATCCTTTCCGCGCACGGAATCCTGAATCTCGCAGCGACTTTCGCCAGAGGAGAACTTGGTCAGGATTCTGCTGCAGGCGGGCAGGCCGAGAATACCACAGACGCTCTCCACCAATTCGGGGTGAGAGTTACCGCCGAGGACGACAATGTTGCGGACCATCTTGCAGTCTTGATCTTGCGAACCGTCGGGATTGCACGTGCAAAGAGACGAAGGCGGAGGAGGGATCGAGACGAAGGAGGTGGCGTCGGAGGGGACGGCGGCGGCGGCGGTGGTGGTCGCTGGATGGCCGGAGGGGACAAGCCCGGAAAGAAAGGAAAGCAGTGCCACGGTAGCGTTGCCTGGGTAGTGCGAGGCTCTTATGCGCCACTAGCCGTAAGGCAATGGGCAAGCTGACTCCTCAGAATGTCGTGCTGGGCTTCGAAGGGTCGTGCTCGGTTTTTTCCCCGGGTCTGGGAGAAAGAATTTGCGCCGGTATATTTTTCAACAAAGATTTGAAAGCCGAGCGATAGGCGAATAAGAATCCGTTCCGAGTCAATGGGCGACGCGCGGTCTAACGGGGTCAGACTCTAGACGGGAACTGACTCTAGCAGCAGCTAACAAGTTGCGACAAGGCAGAGGATGCGGGGACCCAAACGTATAGTCAAGGAATACTCGAAGTTCCTGGAGAATAAAAGAGGAGAAAGTGGGAGAGCAGAGTGAGGGAGAAAGAGGCGATCATCACAGCGAGATCATTCCTGAGTAAGGTGGGAGTTATTGAAACCAGTTTATTAACAAGGGGTCTGCATGGAGCGAGGTCGGTCGTCAAAGCAGCGACATACTTGGTGTTAGTGCCAAACAGGCTCACCCTTCGCTAGCACAGAAAGGCAGGAAGTCACAAGAGTGTCCCGTCACCTGGCACTGTCGCGGGGAATCGCAGTCAAAAACCACACACAAGACGAGAACGAAACCTTCGATTGACATGGGGAAAAAAGTTTTTCAGGTGGCCTGGGTTAGACAAGATGTGAATCATGAGTGGGAAGTACATTCGTCCCCACATGGAATTGCTTGAAGTTCACAATTCCATCCTCGTCCTCTCTGCCCTCGCTGTTTTCCTCATTGCGAACAGAAGTGAAGACGTGCCTGCCAAACATCTCTGTTTTAGGAATTGCGGTCCTGCCCAAAAGGTTCTCTGTGACGGGACTGACTCCGTCACCGCACCCGTGCCGCGTGCGAGATTTTTTTCGGAGCATGTGCAATTGGATGCATCTGGCTGCAGCGACGGCTCGACGCTCCATGGTGGGGCAAAGTGCAAACTGCGTGTAAATGATTGGACAGGAACGCTCAATGTCCAGAGAATGCGGCTGGCGGTCCGTTCGCGACTTCTTCGTTACAATGGCGGGGCACGAGTCCAGGGCATGGCAGGAACTGAACTGCAAAGTGCAACTGCTTGTGAATGGAACTTGTCCACTAACTTTTTTATCATCACATTACCAATCGCCCAGTCTAGAATACCGCTCTAGGACCACTTTCTTGTGTCATATTTTACACAAACAAACGATTATCCAAATACGCTTACGCTTTCCCGAAAGCAGTCGCAATCCCATCGCGCCCAGGCTCCAGGTGGTCACCAGCAAGCAGTCAGCGCAAGACTTCCCTTCTCACTCTCAGCCCTATCAGATAATCTTGGCCGGTCAACAAGCCAGCCCAAGTCGACACAATGAAGATCCTTGAAGGCCAAAGCAACCTGGTCTCAAACCATGAGGTCTATGAGCACATTCTGGAGCAACAGAAAAAGAACAGGTCCAAGAACAGACGAGTGCCTCCCAACCAATTTACTCTCACCAAGGATGTAAGCAAGCCTTCCATTATGACGAATGTGAACATGCCCAAACTGACCTAGAGCAGCTCTTGACCTATCTCCGAACCAAGCCTGGCCCATTGGCAAACCAGGACAAGACCCACCAGTACAGCACGGAAGCGTTGTATGAGCTCTTCAAGAAGCTTCGTGAGGCTAACCTCCAGAGCGATCTCTCGAAAGGCGAGATGCTCATGATCGTCAACCTTCGACCCACCAACATTGCAGTTCTTAGCACGGTCGTTGAGGACATGTTGGAGCGCTTTACTGAGGACGAGCAGCAAAAGATCATCGATATCATCACCGAGACGCTCGGCTTCGACGAACCCGCAGAGGCCGCGGAAGGAGAAGAGTACGATGAGGACGCAGCACCGTCCATTGAGAACTCTTGAACGCCCGGACATGACGACAGCTTTCAGTGACTTACATGATTGCGCATCCTCCTTCGCTTTGCCCGCCCTCGGGAGTTGTCGTCCGCAGCGCCGTTGTACATATATCGTCGAACACCTCTTCCAGCAGCTCGCCAGTCACCGCAGAGCATTCCATGTACTTGTCTGACCTCATCTCTTGCGCAATGCGATATGCCTCCTGTGGGTAGATGATACCGTTGGGATCATTCTCGGATCGCAGATCTCGCTTGAGGCCCAGCATAAGCACCGGAGTGTTGTCACCGGTTACGCCCGCTGTCCGAGCCTCTTTGTTCCACTGCGCAATATATCAGTTTGTCGAAGGATTCGGTTCACCCTGGTTAGAATCGGCACTCACCACTCTTTGGAGGTTGATCAAACTGAGCCTCTGGCTGATGTCATAGCAGAGGATGACTAGGTCGGGCCGAAGAAGTCTCCAGCTTTCTGGACTGGAAGTGTCGTAGAATTCGAACCGATACTCCCCGCGGCGAGTGCGGATATCAAAGATGAAAGGCTGATCCAGATCCCTGAGAAGAGTAATGGAATCTCTGCCTTTCAGGTTGTGACGGCCTCTGCTGATTCGCCTGGATGGGTGTTAGTGAATTGGCTTGTCTTGTCTTCTGTTGTATTAGTGGGCACATGTAGGATTAGATGCAGTGTATAGCTGTATCATTCAGGATAATCACTAACGATAGAAAGGTTGACTTTCCGCATCTCTCATCACCAACGAGAAGTATCGTGATCGTTTGTGACTCCATGACAAACAGAACGCAGGCTCGTGGAAAATAAGAGTGTATTTTCGAAAGAAAAGATTTTGTTCGACAGTTACATGCAAGATGCTGTTCAGCCGTTCTTTTCGAGTGTTCTAGGTAGTCAGCTCACAGGTGGGAGACTCAGGAGAGCTCCAAGCGGGAGGGAACACCGGAGGGAGAGCGGACTCTTATCGATAAGATAAGAGGACTGTTGCCTGCCGACCTGGGGACGGGAGCTTCCACTTGCCAAACAGAAAGCGATCTTGCCAAGACATCTGTCCCCACAATATTTTGAGAAACTCGATGCGGGCACACCCCGAGGCCCCGTCGATGAGACGAATCCAAAGTCTCGTGCAAGTGAAACTGTCATTGCCTTTCCGCGACTCGCCCGTTTTGCATCTCACAAACCAAAGGGCCAGCATATCATTCACAAAGTAATTTCCGAAACTTTGTGCGAACTCACTTACGAAGCTGGTATGTCGACAACCAGTAACACATGCAAAGCTGCCTCTAATCGACCAACCAGAAAACAACCTGATTTGAGGAGAATGAGACACTCATACTCGTCAGGTCTACAAAATCGACCTCTGACTAGCGGGCGGGCTACTAGTCAGGACCATTAACTCGTACACGACTATTAATTCGTACCGAGCGGGGTATATCCCCTACCCGCTATTTTGCTAGCAAATGAAAGTCGCTTATCCGGAGCTAATAATTTTTTTTAATAATATATTTATATTTTCTAGTCGTATGCAATATCGCTAATACGACTAGTATATATATTAATACGTAAAATTATCGTTATTTTACATAGCCATCATTATATACCTATTTTAATATACACTACCTTATAATATTAACCTCCTTATAGTTAGAATCCTTATAACCCTCTTCTTTTTCCTCTTCGTCGTTGTTATTATTAGAAATAATTTTATCGACGTTATTATCGTCCTCGTCTTTATATTCCTCGTACTCTTCATTTTTTTTAGTTTATTTGTACCTATTGTTTATCGTTAGGATATTACTAATCTAAGTCTTTTTATATATTTACTAATTTATTATTTTTAATAATCTTAGCCTCCCTTAATTCTTCTAATTCTTTTTTTAATAGTATAATACCTTTATTAACTAATTATATTGTAATAGTATTATTTGTAACTTTCGTTCTTACTTTATTAAATACTTATAGAGTATATAATTTGGGCGGATTATTAGGAGGTTATTAATAGAGAAGTAGAATTACGTTATTTATAATACGTTTACCCCTTAATTATTTAACTTCTTTATTTATAATTTTTGACTTTTCAGTTTAAAAGTAATATTAATAGTTAGCTCTCTGCTTATAGTATTTACTAATTAATTAATCCTTATTAGAGAGCTTTATAATATATAATTTAATATATTTTTTAATTTCTTTTCTAAGGGTCTTAAGAACCCTTAACCGTAACCTTTCGTTGACTAATTATACCTTTTATACTATAATAAAGCTATTAATCTATACACTTAACGTACTTCATTCTTATTTAAACTCTCGAATATAAATACGCTCATCTTTCTTTTTAATAAGGGTAATATATTAATATTTGTTTATTATAATGTATAATCGATTATTATTAATAATGATAGTACTATTACATTTTAATAAATAATTAATATTATGTTAATTATACAATACTTCTTCAATTACTTCCTCTTTATATTTGTATTTAAATTTTACTTCTCTTATAACTATAAAATTAAGGGTATTATTAGCTTTATTTCGCTTGGCTAATACGTATAAAACTGTTGGGGATATAGCGTAATCTCCTTTAATTGTAAATAAAAGCTATCAATTGATATATTCGTTATATTTTTAATAGAGGGGAAGTTAAATATTAATATAACTGTACTATTTTAATCTTTAATAATATAGTCCTTTCTCTTTAATATAGATAGTTCTATTAAAGTAGGGAGCTCTCTTATTATAGGGAGGTTGGTTAATATAAATAAAGAAGAACTACTTAGTATAGTTATTAGTACGATTTTTAGTATACAGAGGGGTATCTTTTCTAATTTTATACTAAAATTAATAATCCCTTACTCTATAAAACGAATCATATATCCCTTCTTCTATTTAATATATTTATTATTTATTAACAAGGTTAAAGGATTATAAAAGTTTAAAAGAATTAAATTAGGGTTGAAGGGATTTATATTAGTACGCTTTTAAATAAAATAAATATTTTTAAATTTAAATACCTTCCTTCGAATTTACTTAAAGCTATTAAGAAAGTCTAATTTATTATAACTAACGTTATTAAATACTAACTTCTTACGTGTATTAATTTAGTAAAAGTATTTATAAATTTAGAAGATATTAACGTCGAAAGGTTTATTAGTTATTAACGAATGGAGAGCGGAATAAAACGTTTATAGCGTTTAAACGAATACCGGAATAACCTATTTCTTTTAGAATAAATTAATAGGTTAGAATTAATTAGGATGGAAAGGGCTATATAGATTAAGACTATTTATTAATAAATAGGTAGTAAAATTGCGTATTATATCCTACTGACTAATATTAAAGCTTTACATAGTATTTAAATAATTATAATTATTATAAACGATAATAAGACCGGGATTAGAAACGACGCGTTTAAAATTAGTTTAAAAGCGTAAATTTAAAATTATAATACAAAAAATAACGATACTAACTATTCTAATATCCATAAGGGTTTTAATTATTATTATAATCCTAATATATAAAATATAAATACTAAACGTAACTAATATATCTTAAATATACTTCGCTATACCATTAATACACAAATATAAATTTATAAACTATAAGAAAAAGTCGGAATCCCTAGGAGCGACGATACTTATAATAATTATAAAAATTATATATATTATAAACGAAATAATATTATTATAACGCATTTATAATTTTTAAAATAATTAATATACGTAGGTATATTCTATTAAACCCCGGAAGAATAAATATATTTAAAGCGCGTATTTAAATAAATCGGTAATATACCCGCTTATAACCGACGTAACCTATTTAATATCGTACAAATCGGCGATATTATATAATTTATTACTATTTAAAATAAAAGAAACGCCAAGTTTTGTAAAAGACGAAAATAATTTAAAATATTTAGGGAGAGAAGTAAATTCCCGATAGAAATTCTTTATATTGTATAAATAATTTTCGTTATTAAATTATATTATAATATTATAGTGATTAAAAACTTTATATATATCCTAATCTCGTAACAATTTAACGAATTACCTAATATAGGATCCGGATAATTAATTATCGCTTCGAATTACTTTTACTTAATTACTGATAAATTATTTTAATATCCCCCTCCTAAAGTTAAGGCGGGCCTAATAGTTTTAAATAATATGAGCGAAATTTTGATCCGGATTATAGATACCCGAATTTAATTTATTTTAAAATTCGGGATTAATCGATTCAATAGAGGAAACGGAAATAGGCAAGAGGTTAGACTCAATAGAAGAAATAGAATTAAGTAAGGAGTTAAATTAAAAACTTTAAAGTCTAAAATAGTAGGAAGTATTAAATATACTAATATAATTAAATTAATTTAGAAAATAAAAAATTCGGATATAAAGTTAGGCAAATTAAGCGCAAACATTAAATAATTATTAAATAAAACTGGAAAGGGCAATTCCTAAAACGAATAATAAATCGAATCGGGCGAATAAAATATTATAATTTAGTAAATTTCACTCTAATTAAAATATATTATATAGAGAAAGAGTGTAGCTATAATTATACAATTTGGTACACTTCGCTCTAATTAGAATTATAATTTCGGTTAACGGCCAAAACGTTTAAAGTTAGCTCAGACCTACTACTGCAAAAAAGTGTACCCGTCCGCTAATTAGTAGGTAGTATAAAGGGGTGGGGCGGGCGGGCGCGTTTCGGAGGTCCAGCAGGTTTGAGGTCTGAGACTAAGTCAGAGGTCGATTTTGTAGACCTGACGAGTAACCGTAGCCGAGTGCATGAGTAGTCCGTCGTCCATCCGGACGCTTAATCACCTGAAAGCACGTGGCAAAGCCATCGGTGTTTGTCGACCATTATCCAACTCGATTATTGGGTATTTCACGTCCAAGCTCAGCAGGTTCAAGGTTCAACTACGGACATTTACAAAGGGGCCAACAATTCTTTCACAAGAGGCGAGCAAAATGGTGCACAAGCCGGCAAACTACGACCGGTGGCCGAAGGAGAGCCTGGTCAAGCGGGTGATGGAGCTAGAGGAGGAGCTGAAAAGGAGGGGGCAGGCCCCGGAGTCTCAAAGGCAGGAGAGGGCCCTCGCCGCCGCGGTAACTTCGATAGAAGCCGACTTGAAGGCTGCCGAGAAGAAGAAGAAAAAGGCTGCCAAGTTCGACCCGGGGAAGTACTCGACCCGCTTGATCGCGCTCAAGTTCGCCTACCTCGGCAAGAACTACAATGGCTTCGAGTATCAGTCGTCGGCCAAGATGCCGAGCATCGAGGAGGAACTGTGGAAGGCGCTTGTCAAGAGCTGCCTCATTTTCCCTGAAAGACCAGACGAGGTTGATTTTGGTCCCTGGGAGTACTCCAAGTGTGGACGGACGGATAGGGGCGTCAGCGCTTTCGGTCAGGTTATCGGGATTCGAGTAAGGAGTAACAAGCCGCTGCCGAAGGAGGAGGTAGAACAGACTGGAGGAAATGGCGGGGACGACGTTGTGATGGCCGAGGCCGCTCAGCAGCAAGCAGAGGCAGAGGGGGAAAAGGCCGCCGCTACCGACGTAGACCACAAAAAGCCCGAATGGGATCCCATCGCCGACGAGATCCCCTACTGCAGGGTGCTCAACCGGCTGCTGCCCCCGGACATCAGGGTCATGGCCTGGGCGCCCGTTCTCCCGCCCGACTTCTCCGCCCGATTCTCCTGCCGCGAGCGACAGTACCGGTACTTCTTCACGCAGCCAGCCTTCGCGCCGATGCCCTCCTCGCTGGAGCAGCCTCTGGCTTCATCGGGCCAGAAGAGCGGCGGCAAGCAAGGCTGGCTCGACATCGACAAGATGCGCGAGGCCGCCAAGATGTTCGAGGGCGTGCACGACTTCCGCAACTTCTGCAAGATCGACCCGGGCAAGCAGATCACCAACTTCAGCCGGCGCATCTTCGAGTCCGACATTGTCGAGGTGAAAGACGTTGAATCCGATCTGCCGTACCTGGGCCTGCCCGAGTTTCAGCCGCCGGCCGGTAGTGACGGGTCGCATCCCAAGGTGTACTACTTCCACGTGCGCGGCTCGGCCTTCCTGTGGCATCAGATCCGCCACATGGTGGCCGTCCTTTTTCTCGTAGGCCAGGGCCTCGAGCCGCCTTCGATTGTCCAGCAGTTGCTCGATGTGGAGAAGAACCCGCGCAAGCCGAACTACGTGATGGCCGATGAGGTTCCCCTGGTTCTGTGGGATTGCATCTTCCCCAAGCTGTCCGACGAGGAAGCCAACGCTGTTGTTCCTGGTAGCAGCGGCGACGGCAAGGACTCGCACGACCCGGAGGCCGAGGGCGATGTCGAAATGGTCGACTCCATCGACTGGGTCTGGATGGGCGAGGACGACCCGATGAGCCTGTACGGCGCGCAGGGCCTTGTGACCGAGCTCTGGGGCACCTGGCGCGAGAGGAAGATGGACGAGATCTTGGCGAACCGGCTGCTGAACTTTGTGGCTACCAAGCCGGATATCGAGCGGAAATTGATCAAGGGCGCTTCTTCTGCGCCGCCCAAGGGAATCAAGAAGGTCTACGAGGGAGGAAACAAGGCCCAGTTCAGAGGCTCGTATACCCCGCTGTTCAAGAGGCAGTTGTTGGCTTCGGCGAAGGAGGTCAATGATAAGTATGCGCAAGGGTTTGGATTCAAGGACGCGGAGGAGATGACTAAGACGAAGAACTGGAGGAGCGCGATTAGGGAGCAGAAGGATAAGAATAAGAAGGGTGGACGGTCGAAGGTTGGGGGTGCGGAAACGCCTGCTGAGGAGTCTTCTAGCTGAGCGGCTCTGGGTTTAGGATAGCAAACATGCAAGAATCAATGCTACTCGGCAGCTACAGCACAAGTGCAAAGAAACCATGGGCACGTCGCGGTCACCGTCGAGATACTGAAGTGAAATGATCCATCCACGTCCAGATGGGATGTTCTGACGCTGTCCTGAATATAGGCCACCGAAGCGCGCCAAAAAAAAAGAGGACCGATATTCCACAATAACGTGCTCCAAGTTCGATGAAACTCGATACCTCATTCCCTAATCCGCCACTAGTCAAGCGGTCGATTTTGTAGACCTGACGAGTAGCAGAGAGGCCTGGGTCACGCAAATACATGGGGTTTTGATTCGAATCAGACCGGAAGACACCCCGTGCTATCTGGCAGTCAACGAATGAAAAGGGAATGGTGTTGGTCCATCTTCTGTTTCTCTGTCACAATTCAACGTTATTGTCAGCCACCCAGAAGAAAGGAAAACTCTTTCACTTGAGTCTTCGAACATATTCCACCACATTGGCAGCCGAGCGTTCTTGCATACGGGCGTATCGAGGAGGACAGCCACATGTGTGTCATTACCGTCGCTAAGGTAGTGCTGTTATTTGATCGGAAGGTGTCTGCGATGTAATAACAGATACGCAAGAAAAAGAGGTATATAGCAATGGCAGATAGATGATATAGGTATTTGAACACCACTGCAATAAACCAAAGTAAACAAAAAACGCCCGCCCCGCTCTCAGTAACTTTGCAACAAAGCTTCCTACCAGCTCCCACATAATATAGGAGCAAATTAACCCCCCTTCTCATCCCCTCTCCCACTCCCATTATTCCCATTCCCACCTCTCCACGCCCCATTCCCACCATGACTCCCACTCCCACCGCCGGCCCCCGCGCTCAAAACCGGTCCATCCTTCTCATACAAACACCCTCTCGCGCCCCTCCACACCCTCTCAACAATCTTCCGTCTCGGCAACAATCTCGGAAAGCAAACCACGACATCCTCCTCGCCCTCCACCACAATCACCAAGTAATACCTGACCTCAAACCCTTTAAACGCCTCGTTGATCAAGATATCCTGTATTTTTTCGGTCGGTATGAACCGCGTCCTCTTCATAAACGTTCCTCCCCCCAAGCGGAAAAAGTTACCTCCGCCGACGCTGCTGGACATTTGGATGCCCAGCCCTCGCAGGACCAGGAGGGATTCGGTGGTGTGGATCCGCGCGAACAGGGCCATGTATGCTGTGACGAAAGAGAGAGCGAGGACGGCGTAGGGCGGGAGGGAGACGGCGAGGGAGGCGAGGGATTGGCCGGGGCGGGAAACGTAGAGGAGGTGCAGGATGTGGAGGAGGAAGTTGTTGAGGTCGAAGTCGAGGAGGGAGTACCCGGTGCCCGAAGGGAAGATGGGCGGTGGTGGGCCGGCGGGAGGGGAGAAGAAGGCCGAGTAGATGCCGATTATGACGGAGAGGACGGCGATGAAGCGCAGGCAGAGGACGCCGAACAAAGCGGCTCGGAGGGGGAGGGTTAAGGGCGGGCAGGTGGTTAGGGTGAATTCGGCGGTGGTGGGCGAGGGACGCCGGATGGTGAGGTAGGGTGTTGTTGTGAGCATTTTCGGTGTTTGACGGTATTCATTCGGTCGTGTATGTGTAGATTCGTGTTGTGGTTCTCGTAACGAGCGAACGGCCGTTCGAGCGCAAAGCTCTCTCTCGTGGTGTCGCAACCCCTTAAGGTCTGTTTCTGTGCAAGTCGAGATGGTCAGCTACACGGAGAAACGCAATTGAGAGAGGAAAACGGGTTGAAACAGTACTTGGTTATCACCTGTGCATCTTGTGTGTATGCAATCTACCTGGACCGGTTTTAGGTCAACAGACTTTTGCGTCCTTGACTTCTACTATCGTTGGCGACTTGGAGTTTGGTTCGTTAAACTCCATGCCAGTTCTCGAGACCAAGCGCGACAGTCGCGACCACTCCACTCCATCATCTCCAAATCCTTATCTTATCATCTCCCTCTTGGCACCGAGCACAGACCATCAGCCCACTGTAGCACCCACAAGGTGCCGCCCACTGCCCCCAGACCCTTGGTTTGGGGTATATGTATTAGATCGAACGACCACACTTTCGACTGTAATGGTCAAGGTGGGTTTGAAGGCACTTGATTTTCTCAATGTCTCTATTCCATGTCCAAATCTGGAAGCCCAGCGGCGCCCAGCACGAACCTTGCGGTGGTCACCCACTCGCACGGGTAGCCTGCGACTTGCTGCGCGTGGCCCTAAGCAATGAAGATGACACTTGAGGGAGGTTCCACTCTGCAGAGGCATCTTCACCGTCAGGTGGCGCGCTGGATTACGATCGCTGGGGGTTTGGGATAGAGCGTTGAGATGGAGATGTCGACTCCTATTTTTTTTGCACTTTTTCGGTTTTTTTGCTTGGTGGTAATGAGTTGAGGAAATAAATAAATGCTGGGCGATTGAGACATGATCTTTTTGGTTTTTGTACTTCCCAGTGATGATAGGAAAAACGAATTGAACGTATGTCTCCAGCTGGAGTTGAACACCTGTTGAGGGTGGAGACGTCCATCGCGATGCATGTTTTGGTGTTGTTGGTTTGCGCTGAGCATCCAACGCAGCCATAACGGCGCACGAGAGCATCTTGGTTAGCAACTAGGCGATTGAAGGGGGAAAGACGAGATATATTGGCAAAAGTCATTGACACTGCCCGTTATGACTTTCTCTTCTCACATTACTTTCCGGTCCTGTAAGTGAATGCTGGTAATTGCCCCAAAGCATTTGGACTTGTATTTTGGTGGCATTGCATTTTCTGCCTGGGAGTTAGGCATGCGAGATGAGAGGTTGCGTATATACCCAGTCAAACAATCTGTCAATAAAACCAGTCACCGAAAATTATGTAAGACTATGATGGCATGTTACCGCATTGTTGTATGTGTTTGACCAGTTGATGAGGTTAATGAACGTTGGCCGGCCGGCTAATGAGCATGACCACGTAGGCACTTGTGCTTCATTTTCAAGTCTTCCTCTACAACATTTCCCTCTGTACCATGATTACATTCAACATAAATGCTCCAATCCTGGGAGTCAAACTCATCGAACACTCTTCTTGGTGTCACGGGGATCTACGAAGAATACTGGATACGGGGCGCCATGGTTATGAAGCCAGTGTATCTGTTGTATTCTAAGTAATAATGATAATAGGAAGAAGAGGAAGGTCTGGAAGCCAGGGCCCAGCCCAGCTTAATTACTGGGCTGGCAACAAAGGTTCTAAGAACCTTTGTCCCAAGCCTGGCAACCAGAACCTCCATGACTATTCTACAAGGTGCTGGAAACCTGGAAACCCCAGGTTTCCTGTATCACTTGGCCTCCGGGAACCTCATCATTACAACCTCCCTTAAGCTTCAGTCCAAATGGTTATAAGCGCTTGTTTACCCACTTCGTAGGCTTTAGGATGAGTTTGATCTTTGATACAGTTGTGAGTGTCAGACGAATAATGACCATGCCACTACCGATGTCATTGTCATCTTCTCCGACCCCGTTCATTTCCCTGCTATCCGTCCCTCCCTCCATCCATCCATCCTTCCCTGTTTTCCTTTTTGCCTTTGGTAGTACATAACCTTTCTTGGAATTCCGGCTACATCCACAACGCCTTGCTCTTCATTTCCTTTTCCGTCCTTCTTTCCTCCCTTCCTCACTTCTCTACCCGTATTAAGATTTGCTTACGAGCCACGCGAATTTCTTCCTGGTGGTTGACTCGCCGCCTGTTGTCGGCTCTACTTGTATACTTCGCTGGTAGATATCCTGTTAAGAGAAAGAACGGGTTAGCAATGATCTTTCCCGCAGATGTAGGTTTGTCGTTCCAGAGGGAATTCTCATTCAAAGAAGCAAGACGGACAGATCCGGCAAATTAATGAAATGCAGGGGTAGTCCTCAGGGGCAAAGGGGGAAACAAAGAAGGTACTGAAGCAGAAGAGGACAAACTGAGCGGTAGGAAGGGGAAATTTTGTGTGAGAAAAAAAAAGACTAACCTCTTCATCCGTCGGCATGTTCATGTCAAGAATCAACTCCCTACTAGGCTCGTGCTTGGTCAAGTTCGGATACGGCTGTCCCTGACTCCTCAATACGGGCAGCAACACCTCCCCAAGCACCTCGTACTTCTTCCAATTAATCCGATCATTATTCGGTCCCACAAACGTCCTGCTTCCCTCCTCCGCCGAGACGAGATCACGTCTGTGCAAGGGGATGAACGGAATCCTCGGTAGCGGCGTGTTCTCCCACGCCAACCGGTAAGCAAAGTGACTCTTTTGCGTGCCCATGAGCAGGACCAGCCGGGCGAACCGCTTCTGCACGTCTTGCGAGACTAAATTTCGCGTCTGCGCGAGTCGGTGGATGGCGGTGCCGTTGATACCAGCCAACACGGCGGCCAGGCCGTTGTAGTTGTTCAGCGTGCGCAGTCGCTGGGCGATGACCATGAACCGTTCTAGGCAGGGCGCGCGGTGTTTGGCCTTGTCGCGGATGAGGATCATGTTGGAGACCCATTGGGCGATGTGATTGAAGTGGGAAACCATGCGGTTGACGTTCTTGAGACTGCGGCACTTCTCCTTCTGGTCGGCGGGCAGACTGACGTGGCGTACCATGTCGCGTATGCGGATGGAGCTGAACATGATCCAATCGATGCGGGTGATCTCGTCGGCGACTATATCGGGGTCGATGTCCATGAAGGTGTGATAGTGGGACTTGTTCAGCGGTAGATGCGGAGAGGGTACCAAGGCCGCGGCTTCGCGCTCGTAGTCTTCGATGGAATGGTACGTGAATTTTGCTGTCGGATCAGCCCCCGAGAGGTCTGAGCTGTGTGATGGACGTCGACGATCATACGCGCCCGACTCGTCAATCTGCAATGAAGTCACAGACTCGGCGAGTCTCCGCCCCACGTCCCTGCCCGCCTCCTCGTCATCTTCGTCGACCGGGTCCGCCCTTGCCCACCAGGTGTCATCGTCATCCACCACCTTTTGCTCCAGGTTCCCCTTCATCTGGCGGGCTGCTGCGGAAAAGATTTGGTTCGTTGCCAAGTCGCTTATTAGTCCTTCCAATCTCCTCCTCGTTGCTGGTCGGGCAAAGTCTCCGGGGTAAAGAGAAAGCCATTTCGCGACAACCTCAATAACGCGCATCTGGCTTTCAATGCTCAGCAAAGAGGGCATGTCCGTGTCGTCCCTTAAGCGGTCCAGCCGCGAAAGGAGCGCGCTCATTAGCTCGCAGGGCGTAGCGAACTTTCTATATAAGCACAGAAAAATGTCGGCAAAGCTGGTGTCCGCCCTCGTCATCTTTGGAGCTATAATCCTGTCGATAAGCTCATCGAAGGTGACGCCCGCAAGTTTCGGAGCCTCGTCTTCCAGATAATCCTGATTGCGCGCCATTATGGCTACATCGTCCGACAAGCGGTGGCTTTCTGGATCCGACTCTTCAACATCTAAGAAGGATCCCGATCCTTTCTCCAACCGTATCCCTGGTGTACGTAGCGTGCCGGACAATGCGTGTGGAGCACCATCCTCGGGGATGTCTGATGGTTGCGGGCTGGAAGTGCCGTATTGTGCATGTAGATATTCCATTCTCGGCGACCTCGAAAGTTGGGATCTCTGGTGAGAACCGTCGCCGCTAGGAGGCGCAAAGCCCTTCAGGAGCGAAAAGTCGGAGCTTGCTCTACTGTGTTTGCTGTGCTGGCTGATGGGACGACCGTTGACTTCGGGGGGAGCATCCAGGTTGGCGGCTGAAGCAGCTCTTCGTCTCGAAGCCGACCTTTGCGGCCTCTCTTGCGCTTCTGCTCGGGCGACACGTTAGCCCTGTCCTGTGGGATACTCTATGTCTTGTGTTCCTAGGGTAACGAACAGAGGCCTCCTGTTCATGGAGCACCAGAATGGAGCCATGGCGGATGAACGGGGGCAATAGTAGCGTGGAAAGGCAAGCATGTGCTATCTTGCACGTACCTCTTCTGCTGGCCAGGATGGCGTCGATCATGGTCAAGAGGGTTTCACGAGCGCCGCCGGGAATATTGGACGAGATCCTCAGATGGGCAACACACGAGGTATAGCTGTGTGCTACGGCGTTCATATCCACCTGCCGTATGCTCGCAGGGGTATCACATTTCGTCGCGACAAGTATGGTTGGTATGGAGGCGTTGGCCAGGAAAGCTGCGGCACAGGCGGGTATTGTCAGACAAGTGTCTCTTATTGTGAAGGGGAAAGCTGAAGAAGCTCACTCATGGCTGGGGAGACATCGTGGATGCTGTCCGTGTTGGTGACGTCGTACAGAATCAGGGCGCCGTCGGGCATGGGGGGGAGCATATGGCCGTCTATTTGCTTGGGCCATTGTATCGACTGGCCGGGGTCAAGGTCTTTGAAGCCGTCAAGGTCAATTTCTACGAGGGTGACGAGGTATCTGGTGCCATCGATTTCCATGCGCAGGGTCGAGATGTTTAGCTCGGGCGGTCGTTGCAGGCGGAAAGCTCGCTGGACGAAGGAGGATTTGCCCGCGCCGTAGGCGCCAATGACGGCAATGTTTATGGATGCCATGGCACGTCTCGATCGCGAATGATCGAACTTGTGAAACCAAGTCATGCCATGTCAGTTCAAAGAAAACGAAAGGTATGGTATGTAAGGTGGTAGGTAGTATGCGGGAGGCTCACCCACGGTGTTGGGCTGTCGACTCTCAGAGACTCTTTGCGAGGCGGAGGCCACGGTTGTTGCGGATCATTGCGATTATAGCTATAAGTCGACTCGGACGGGGGATTGGGAATAGGACCCGGACTCGGACTGGGCGCCTGACTGGGTATCGGCCTAGGATTGGTGGCAGTGTCTGTGGTATGGGTATTGGGCGCGCCAACGGGTTGGCAGACGAAGGGATCGTCGAGAATGGCAGAAGCAAAGGAGTCGCGGTAATTGGAGGAGGGGCCGGGGCCGGGATAGTCGTCGTCGTCGGCTGGCAGCAAAAAGGTGCCCTCGGAGACGAAGAGCGATGGCGTTGCTGAGGTCGGCTGTGTTGTTGACGAGATGGCAGCGGCAGAAGCGGAAGTAGCGGTTGTGGCGTCGTCGAGATTGGTGGTCTTGTTGGTGTTTGCGGAGATGGGAGACAGCAGAGGGGGGAATTGGTGGTCCTGGTGGAGGAGATGCGGATCGGCAGCACCCGCCGAGCTTGGCGATGGAGTGGTCAAGGTGGTGTCTAGTTCTGTACAATACAGTGGCAGTTCAAACTCGATGGACGCAGACAGATCGGCCGGCAGCTCCAGGTCCAGGTCCAAAAAGTTGGGGAGCTTGGGGAGGAGCTCGGGCAATTGGGGATCGTGAGCTTCAGCGTGACTAGCAGACCCCTTGAGACCCAGCATTTGCTTGACTTGCCTGATCAGCCGGAATTGCGACTGCGACGGTTCAACGTCTGAATGCGACGGCGACTGCTCCAGCGGGTGGCCTGCCAGTGGTTCCGACAGTGGTTCCGACATGGGCACTTTTGCGTTTCGAGAGGATGGAAATCAATGCTTCAATGCTACGGCACCATGGCCATCTCGACTCCTTGATTAGGTCAATAGTTACGCAGTAGTATTAATAGGTAGCACGGATATCGGAAATATGAGAGTGCCGTGGTTGAGTGGTGCCAATGATGAACCCCTTTTTTTCTCATCTCGCAGGTCCCGTCGGCGGCCATGGGTCAGGTCAGTGAGCGGACGGTACCTCTGACCTCCTTACAAATACACATTCAAAGGCAGGTACCTCCCTTTGCCGACCCCATAAGGCGTCAAGTATCATGGACAGGCACACGACACAAAGAGATAGCTGATGCCCGAACAAGCTCCCGTCCCGCTGCTAAAGGGGAAACTGGGGACGCCATTTGGGGCCAGACCCTTGGAACACGGGGGACATGGCCTCAGATGACAAACACCAGAACTGGCGGGGGGTCCTATTTCAGAATCCAGTATCCACAGGGGTTTGCTCTCTTTTTTTGGCGGGAGTCTCTTTCGTGATGGGACATGGCACTGTTTGGCTTGTCGGCACTTGCAACGGCCCGGAGCCCACAGCTTGTTGTCAGACCGCAACTGGTCATTCTTGCTTTTAGCAACAGCCAGAAAGAAAAATGAAGAATGATAACAAGCGGACGGTACGCTCTGCAATGCGGAATGACGATGGAGAGCAAAAAGGGTCGAGTCCGTTTAAGCAAGCCAAGCACCAGCCAGTGCCGCCTGTCCCTGCAGTGCCTGCAGGGCATTTATCGTGAGGTGGGTTCCCACTGCCCGATCGGTGCTTCTATTGTCGTGATTGATTGATAGACGGCACAGACGGCATGTCAACCACCTCATCACTTTCTTAGCACCGCACTCACATCAGACTTGTTGTTTTCCGCAACAAACCAGACACTGGTCAAGCTGCAGAGAGCCATTGTGATGGGCTAAAGAGAAATGGTGAGAAGGTAGAAGAAAGGAGGTTTTTGCAGACCAGCTTCCCTGCCTCTAAATAACCCTGGAAAAGACACAAGCTCACAGTTCAAAGGGACAAAGGGTTGACCACTAACACGCCCAATTAGGCAGGTAGCTATGTTCGAATACGGATCGTCAAGAGGCCGGGACGACGAAACAGTTCTGAAGTCTGGACCTTTCTCCAACCCCACTGATCTTCCAACAGCCAAGTGGATACCGAGTTTGGACGCGTCACGTCGACATGACCTCCGGTGGCTTGATGGATCTGGTTTGCGCTGTCAACTCGTCCCCCAAACATAATAACAACGGCTTCGGACGCCTCGACGATAACACAACGACATATCCCTCCGAACATGTCCTGCGGCGTCGGGACAGTTGCGTATCCACATCGAGATTGTCTTGACGACTCCTCTCCAGCAACTGGGCAGGCGCTGCAAGGGAGTTCAGAGCCTCAACCCTCGCTTGGTCGGACCGATGGGCACACCCAAGACGGACGAGCAAACCTGGCGCGCCACAGCGTCACAGCGTCCGTCACGGCAGCCATACCAACGGGGTTAACTCTGCCATTACGGACGTATCGTCAGTCTGTCCACGGGCGCGCCGCCGGTCGGTATTCGGGCGGAAAACTCGGAGCGCAAACACCAAAAGAAAACATCAAACTTTACCTTGAGTGGATGGCAACGACAATTACAGAAGAGCAGGCAAGCAGCAGACAACACGGATGCCGCTTGCCTACATATTAATACCCGTCCACCATGTTTGACGACTCGAGATGGTGGTGATAGCAGCGTCGTGCCGGCTGACGTTGACAACTACAATCACCGCCACAAGTTCCAAGAAAAGCTGTCGCGCGTAGCACTTGTGCGCCCCAACTAAACATCCGCTGCCCAGAAGTGTCACAGTTCCTCCGTCTTAGACTCCGTGCCTTGCTGACCGCCCCTACGCCCTTCCGCCCTTCCCGTTTATCTAGCCACTGTGCCATCCGCCGGATTGTCTGGCATGCTCAACCATCTCATAAACACCAAAATGTAACCCTTTGGCGACTTCCAGCTACTTTTTTAGTATCTTAGCAGTCGCTATAAGCTCCCTAACGGCATGACTAGCTGTTTAAGCGTCAGGTACCTAAATGTTCTTATGGGCCGGGAAAAAAAGTGGCGCAAAACACGGTTAAAGAGATAACAGCGGGGCCCCGCATAATAGCCAGGCGCTGTTAGTGGAGGGCGGACCCGAGCCAAGGGATGGCTGAGAATCAGCGAGCTGAGAATGAGTAAGGGCGTGTTCCAATTTACTCTAATCTCTTATAATAGTCATGCTCCGATGTTAACCCCCATCCGCTCTGCCGCTACACGTGGCGCAGTCTCTTTATACCCTGTAGGTCCAAATAGTATAATATTAGGATTACGTTTATATATAGTTTGAACGAAATCGGCCAATGTATATAAAGAATGTTCAATTTCTACGTAAATACTCGAGTATTAAACTACTATAAAAATTTCAAATTTAATTAAATAAAGTGTCTGAAGATAGTACGAATAGTAGGTCCATTTTTATATACTTTTTTTTCGTATTTCTATAAGGCTTTTATAATTTACTAATACTATAGAGGTAATTTTTATTATATGCAAAATTGTATTTAGAAGGATCGTGTATTTTATTTCTATAATTTAATATCATATCGACGCGAAAATTTGTATATATAATGACTATAAATCTAATACCGATGAGGTTATAGAATTAATTTATTATATTACCGATTTTTGGTAGCCTAATACATTTATATTTTTTAATTCGGCTTTTTAAGATTAAATTGCTGAAATACTATATTATATGATATTTATTAACGTTAAGAATATATAATATTATTTTATTAATACGGTTGCTACTTATTTATTAAATTAGGAGTTATTTGTAAGCTTAGACTAACGCTGCCTAAAATTTAATTAAATTGAATTTGTTTATCATATTATTTACCAACGAAGCGATACAATTTTAATTACCCGTATAGGTTATAGCAAGAGTATTATCTTTTAAATAGTATTTATCATTTTAATTAATAAAATTTTTATTTAAATTATACTATTTAATCGGTTTAATAAAGAGTAGCGCGATACTATTATTAAATTTCCTAATATTCGACCTATTTTAATCGATTAATTAATTATAAAGGTATAATCTTTAACCTCGTTTATTTCTTATAAGGGCGGCTAAGATTCGCCCCCCTATAGGATTTAAATATATTATATAGCTAATTTTATAATAGTATCTTCGCTTCTAATCAGATTTGGAAATTGGAAATTATATATATATCCTCTTCGGTCTAAAATAAACTACTTATATAAAATTTATAAGTTAATACGTATAGTTTTATTCAATTAACAAATCATATTTATTGTTATAAACGAATTATATATTATATTCTAATAACGTACATTTCGGAAATAATTTATAAATATTTATATTATTAAAGGGGGGATAGCTCAGTTGGGAAGATCTGAGCTTAGTTTACCTTCGGTTTCATCCGAAAGGTCGTAGGTTCGAATCCCGCTCCCCTCTCTTTTATCCGATTTTTCGGATGAAATTTCTTCCCCGCTTTCCTCCCTAAATAAGCGTTAAAAATATAGAGGGCTCGCTCTAATCCAAAACCCTAGCAATACGTAATTGGGTACGTATAAAACTTATTCCTATTCGAAGAAACGGCTTCTCTCCACTCTAGCTAATAGGGTCTTGGAATTGGAACCCTACTTCCAAAAATCCATTCCGGAGCTATAGTACTAGTTCGGTATTAGAATCTAAAACCCGTACGGCAATTACGACAATTAATTAATTACGTTATTTCTCACTAATCCCGGCCTATATAAGTGTATATATATAAGTAACCAATAGAGGCCAATCGGCGAAGAATTCTAATAAATAAGACCCCTCCCCTCTACCCCTATACTTTAAAAATAAAATAGAACTACCTAACGAAAACGTAGTACCGAAGCGCCGGGTAAGGGGGGCGGGGTTTTGGAATTAACTAATTAGAAATAGCGAAGTCTACTGGGATAAAAGAAATAACGAAAAAAAAAAGATAATAAACGACGAAATAACTAAAATCTCCTCCGAACGCGATGCGGTAAAGCGGCGTATTAGGCGCGGGGGTAGGGTTAGAGTTGGAAATAGGGTAGCTAGAGGTTTTCATCCGGTATTTACGGTTTTCCCTCTAGACTAAAAAAGGAAGTAGTACCGCATGCCCACTAGGGGAACTATAGTATAATTTAGCAAAATAAGATAATATATATATATATATTATTAAAACTATTATTCTATTTAATATTCTTTAATTTCAATATACGGTTACTTTTATTTATAAAATATAATTATATATATATAAATATAGCGGTTTCCGCCCGGAGGGTTATAATTTAAGTAAATCTTCTATTATTTATACTTTTATCAACCGGTCTAATATTATAATAGTATTATAACTGATTCTATTAAACGCATTTAAAAATTACCGGCAGCTCGAATTCGTCTTCGGTACGTTAATACTTAACGACCCCCGGCTTAATATTTATTTTATTCCGAAATCTATTATTTATATTAATAATAAACTATTATTTTTCTCCGCCCGGTCGTATCTCTTATAATATTTTATACTTTCTAGCTACGAACCTTTATATATAATAAAAGTAATTTATAAATATAATATCAATACCTATCTTCTAAATTAGAGGGCTATATATAAGGATTTTAAATAGCCTAATTCTACGTACCGGATAATACTTACTACCGTTTCGTTTAATATAAGTATAGATATTCCGAATATATAATATATAATATAATATAACGCGGTTATGTCCGATGATATTACGGACTTAATTTAGCGTTTTAAATACGCTATCTATACGGATCCTATTATATATAGTATGGGGTTTTAGTTCGTCTTTTATTATTAATTTGATTATTTTAATTAATTATACGAATTTACTAAAATAAAAAGGATTATATATTTTAACAATAATATTTTATTATATTATTCCGCTATTCTAATATTCGAAACCTAATATATATTACTTCTTCTATTTATTGATATTATTTTATAATATATTATATTAAATTTCGTTTTAATTGAAGAGTCGGTCAATTCATTTATTTCGGGGGATAAGGATATTTCGGACGAGGAAAATACTTCGGACGAAGAAAATACTTCGGATAGGGAAGGTATATTAAATATAAAGAAATTATTAAATAATAAAAATATTATAGTCGTTTAATAAGTTCTATAAGAATTAAGTATTGGCGATAGTAATCAATAATTTCGTATTTAAGATAAAATAGAAAAAGCAATTTAAGAGAAGGTTATAAAAAAGTATAAAAAGATATACGAATTCATTAATATACTATATTT